CCATCTGTAACTCCAGTTCCAGGGGATCTGAAGCCCTCCATAGGCATTGCATGACATGGGTGCACTTACATACATGCTGGCAATACGCATAAAATATTTTTTAAAAAGCAGCCCAGTTCTCCAAAATGCTGGTGAGTGATGGCGTTGATATGTTTAAATGTTGCTTGTAGCAATTTTTGGTATTATGAGGCCTGGGGAGAGGGCTCAGCACTTGCTGCTCTTTCAGAGGACCTGCCTAAGTTCAGTTCCTGGCACCCATGTTGTGCAGCCCACAACCACCTGTAACTCCAGCTTCAGGGGATCTCGTGTGCTCTTCTGGCCCCAGCGGGCACTGCACACATGTGCATGCACACACACACCCATAATGTTTTAAAGTTGTTGAAAAAAGTAAAAAAAATTGTTGAAATAAAAAGATCAAGAGAACTGGACTAAGATGTGGAGCCCATGCATGATAGTACATGTTGGACTGCTGTGCAGATTTTTAGGGAACCACCTCTGAGACTGAACTGTAACATGGGAGAGACCTCTACTCTAAGGGCTGAACTGAGCTCCACCCCAGCCCTTTTGGCTTCTTAGCTTTATCAACTTCAGAGAACCTGACTCTGGTGTCCAGTGTGTTCATTGACAAGGGAGTGGCCAATGAAGAATGATCTCATGATGAGGTGCTTGCTTCTCCCTCCCTAACATGTTCTCTAACTGCAGCTGCCTCCACCATGGCTCTAGGGGCCAGAGAATGGAAATGAGTTTACTCAGCATGCCTTGCTTTCTGGCAGTCTGTCCAGCAGGACTTTCTCTGATGATGAAAATGTTCTGTGTTGGGGCTGGAGAGATAGCTCAGCAGTTAAGAACACTGGTGGTTCTTGCAGAAGACCCAGGTTCGAATCCCAGCACCCACATGGCAGCTACCAACTGTCCGTAACTCCAGTCCCAGGGGATCTGACAGTCTCTTCTGACCTCAGGCATGCACGACACGGGTGCACTTACCTACATGCAGGCAATACATGCATATACATAAAATAATAATAATAATATAAGTAATAATAAAAACAATTTTGGGGGGTCTTTTTGAGACAGGGTCTCCTTTTAGCCCCAGCTGTCCTGGAACTCACTATGGAGACCAGGCTGGCCCCAAACTCACTGAGATCCGCCTGCCTCTGCCTCCGAAGTGCTGGGATTAAAGGCGTGCGCCACCGCGCCCCGGCTAATAGATAAAAAATTTTTTTAAAAAAGAAAATGTTAGAGCTGCTGGCTCCTACACTGGACAACACCTTTCTAGAGAGACAGTCTCTGCCCTGGATGGTCTTCCCTTCCTTCCCACCTGCCTCCCTGTCAAGAATATGCATACTGGGGAGCAGGGCCCTTTCCGTACCCTTCCAGGAAGTGGAGGTCTGATGTTGGGCTACCCCTTTGAATTCTTACCTCAGTTTTTTTCTAAATTACTATTGGAATGGAATCCAGGGCCACAGATTGAAGGGATTCTTGAAAAGTCAGGAATAGAAGGCTGTGCTGACTCAGTCCCTTTGTTTCTAGAGGAGGTGCCTAGGTACAGTCCTGGGTTCTACAGTTTCTGTCTGGGAAAGGAAGGGGGGAGTTACCAGGTAAGGGCCCCCGTAAATGGCCATAGAGGAAGACTGTCCAGGGATGTGGTCTCTGGGACAGCTAAGGTCAGGGCTAGTGAGGTGCTGCGTGCCTGATAAATTGTCCCTTCTTTCAAGCCCAGCTGGACTGTATTACCTCCATGGTCACCTCCAGCATTTTCCATCATCTGCTTTGTTGTCCCTCCTGAGAAGCTCTGATTAATGAGATTGGGCGCACGTGGGGTGTTGGTGGGGGTGGCATTTGTCTCCCATTTCTTTTTAAAAAAAAGTATATTGGGGGGGGAGCTGGAGACATGGCTCTGCAGTTAAGAACACAGACTTTCTTGCAGAAGACCTGGGTTTGAATCCCAGCACCCACATGGCAGCTAACAATCGTCCGTAACTCCAGTTCCAGGGGATCCGACCCCCTCTTCTGTCCTCTGCGGGCATTGCATGACACGGGTGCACTTACCTACATGCAGGCAATACATGCATACACATACAATAAAAATAATAATTTTTTTAAAGTATATTTTTATTATTTGAGAATGTCCCACAGGCATACAATGTACTTTATCAAGGCTCCCATTTCTTTTTCCTTTTTTGAGACAGGGTCTCACTGTGTAACCTTGGCTGTCCTTGAGCTCATAGAGATCCATCTGCCTCTGCGTGTACTACCAACCCTGGCCAAGTCTCCCATTTCTTAAGCACCCTTTAGTGACCATGGTGTTTCTGTGACAAGGTGAGACTTGGGGACAGTGCTAAATGGAGCATCATCCTAGTCTCCTGACTCAGATTGGGTCTGCCTGGTCTTGACAGAGCCTGCGTGTATAAAATGGGAACATTAGGTTTTTTTCATTTGCTGGGAAATTTAAAAAGTGAGCTTAAGAAGAGTTAATTATGAGTGTGTAGAAGTAACAATAGGCTAATGTAAGTGAATGCCTGTGCTTGTGGAAATACAATCACGTCACCTCTCTGCACTACATGTGTGCTCAGCCTTATCTGCTTACATGCTAACTTCTGACTCAGTTCCCAGTCACCATTGTGTTTGTTCATAAAGATGGGGGGGAAATGGCCACAGGTGCTGGGGTTTCAGCACAGAGCTTTCTCCTGTGGGTGTGGGTGTAAGTCAGTACTTGTGGGCACCTTGCCTAGGTTCTCGGGGTCACAACTGGTAGAGTCAGATCCCAGATTTAATAGCGAGAATCTTATTTTCCTCTAGGAGCAGGGAAGGACTCACGGCATTTTTAGGCAAATGAGTTTGCATGATCACAGCTCACAGCCCTACAAGTCTTGTCTGGAATGCTAGAACTTTCCTGAGGTCACCTGGTGGTCCCAGTGAGGACATGCATATAGTGGGTCAGAATTCCCATTAGTGCCAGCTGTGGTACTGTTACCTTTAATTCCAGCACTCAGGAGGCAGATGAATCTCTGTGAATCTGGTCTACATAGTGAGCTTTAGGTCAGCCAGGCCTACATAGTGAGATCCTGCCTCAAAACAAATAATCAAACAATAAAAATTCCCATTTATGTGTTTAGTCTTTAATTTTTCAGCCATCCTTCCTTAAGTTCATTTTATTATCTGTTGCTTAAAATAGAATCAATTTAAATTGAGAGGGATAAGTTTAACAGTTGTATAATTTACATACTATTTATAGAAAATCAATTTTTGAAATGTTTGCCTTAAATTTTACCTCTGAGTGTTTTCTGTACCCCCTACTATTCACTAACGATGCATGTTTGTTTTTTTTTTTTAATTTTTAAATTTACCTGAGCATGGTGGCACACACCTTTAAGCCCAGCAGGGTTCACCTGTGTTTCAGCATGGACCAGAATCTCCTTCAAGCCACGCGTGGTGGTACACACCTGTAGTCCCAGCACTCAGGAGGCAGAGGCAGGTGGATCTCTGTGAGATAGAGACTAGCCTGGTCTACATAAGTTACCGGCCAGCTGAGGCTACAGGGAAACCCCGTGTGTGTTTGTTGTTGTTGTTTGTTTGTTTTTTAAACCCGTCTTTAAAAAAAACCAAACCAAAAAAACACAAATTTTTTTTTTCTTTTTTCTTGTTGTTTTTGAGTCAGTTTCACTATGTAGCCTTGGCTGGCCTGGAACTTAGGGAGATCCGCCTCCCTCTGCCTCCTGAGTGCTGGGACTAAGGAGTATGCTACCATGCCTGGCCCATAATTTTATGTTTTGAGACAGTGTTTCATGTATCCAAGATCAGACTTGAATTCACTGTGGAGTCCTGATCCTCCAATCTCTACCTCCCAAGTGCTAAGATTTTAGGTGTGTACCACCACACCTGGGTTATACAGTTCTAGGGATCAAACATACATGCCTGGGTCTTCATGCATGCCAGGCAACTGTTCCACACACTCAACCTCAGCCCAGTGTCCTTCATTTTAAGACTGAATAATGTAGGATGTGGTGGTGCAGACCTTTAATTCCAGTAGAGGCAGAAGTAGGGAGATCTCTGAGAACAAGGCCAGCCAGGCTACATAGTGATACCCTGTCTCAAAAAAATAAAAGATGTCAAGCATGGTGGTGCATGCCTTTAATCCCAGCAGAGACAGGTGGTTCGAAGCCAGCCTGGTCTCCATAGCAAATCCAGGCCAGCTATGGCTAGACCCTGTCTCAAAAAGACTGAATAAATAAATAAATAAACAAATACATACATACATACATAAAATAAAATAAATGACAAAGCAAAAAAGATTAGCATTTCACATACATCTGTCTCACATTACTGGGAGTTTTAGAGTGTTGCCATCAGTCTGCAGAATGCTGTCAGTGTTGGAGTTCACATGGTGCTTCAGCCCTGCTTTGCATTACTCAGAAGTGGAGTGGCTGAATGATGTCATTTTGTGCTTGAGTTTTGAGGAACTGTTCTCCAGCAGCTGTGCACTATTTTATAAGGATTTTAATTCCTTTCGACATCTTTCCTAGAGGTTAATACTTTGTGTTGCTTCTGTTTTGTTTGACATTCAGCTGAAGCGTCTTGCTCATACCAAAGTACCAGAAAATGTTTTCTAAAGAGAATAATGTGCTCTGTTAGAGAGGTATCATCCACCTATCCTGAGAGAAGCAGCTTCACCCAGCTCAGCAATGTCACCCACTCTGTGTCACAGGGAGAAGCAGACTTCTGTTCATCCAGTGGAGCAGGAAGGGTGGCTTCTCCCTGGAGGACATTTCCCTGGGTCGGGATTGTCAGGATTCACTTTGGATGTAATGCTAAGCTAATTTTATGGAAATGACCCTAGATGGAATGTTAAGGATGGATTCTGTATCTTAAAGGTCAAGAGTTTGGGGGCACTTATGAAACTATACATCATCCAGGGCACAATGGGATATCTGGGGGTGTGGCGGGAGCTGGACAGGGTAGATTCTTGCCACTACTTCTTTCTTGGTGCTTCTCTTGAGCAGGAATCATGGCCCAAGTAGCGATGTCTACACTACCCGCTGAAGATGAGGAGTCGTCAGAGAGCAGGATGGTGGTGACATTCCTTATGTCTGCCCTGGAGTCCATGGTGAGCCCTCAGGTCCCACGGCAGCCTGTCCGTGGTTGGATAGGATGAGGCGTCTCGAGAAAGCATGCGTTTCTATGAAACAGTCATTTAATCAAGGTTTTTTTTTTTTTTTTTTTTTTTTTTTGTGGTGTTGGGGATCGAATCTAGGGCCTTAGCCGTGCTAGGCAAGTAATCAACCACGCTTCTTGTTTATTACTATTTTTTAAAAGATTATTTTATTTTGAAATTTTTATTATTGTGTGTGGTTTTTGTGGTTTTGTTTTTATTTATTTTTGGTCTTTTTGAGATAGTTTCTTTTGGTAGTCCCAGCTGGCTGGAACTCACTATGTAGACCAGGCTGGCTTCTGTCTCATAGAAATCTGCCTGCCCCTGTCTCCTGAGTGCTGGGATTAAAGGCATGTGCCACCGTGCTGGGCTATTCTTAGTTTTTTGAGACAGGGTTTTACTATGTAGCTCTTGCTGGCCTGGAATTTGCTATGTAGACCAGGCTGGCCTGGAGTTCTCAGTGATCTTCTTGCTTCTGCTCCCGAGTGTTGGGATCAAAGGTATGTACCATCATGCCTGGCAAGGTTTACTTTTTAATTTTTTTATTGTGTGTGTATGAGTGTTTTGCCTGCATGCATGTAAGTGCACCAAGTGCGTACAGTACCCACAGAGGCCAGAAGAGGACATTGGATCTCCTGGAACTGGAGTTATAGACAGTTGTTAGCTGCCATGTGGGTTATGGGATCAAACCCGTCTCTTCTGGAAGAACAGCAAGTGTTCTTAACTGCTGAGCCATCTCTTCAGCCCCAAGGATTTACTGCTTTGTTAATGACATGTTTGTGTGGTATGTATACATGAGTGCAAGTGCCTTTGCAGGCCAGAGACTTTCAATTCCCCTGGAGCTGGAGTTAACAGGTACTTGTGAGCTGCCCTACATGGGTGCCAGGAATAGAATGGGTCTTCTGTAAGAGCATTGTACTCTTGTAACTGTAGTGCCATTTCTTCAGCACCATCTATATTTATTTTGAGGAAGAGTCTCCCTAAGTTAGCTGTGCTGACCCTGAACTTTCTAATCTTCCTGCCTTAGTCTCTACAGAATGCTAGGATTAAAGGTATGTTCTGTTACACCTGGTCCTGGCTAGCATATTTTTTTTAAGACTCATTTTTATTTTATGTATATGACTGTTTACCTGAATGTATATGCAGTATACCATGTATATGCAGTAACCACAGAGGCCAGAAGAGAGCATCAGCTCCCCTGGAGCTGGACTTATACACAGTCATGAGCTGTCCAGTATGGTTGCTGAGAACTGAACCCAGGTCCTCTGCAAGAGCAGCCAGTGCTTTTAACCCCTGAGCCATCTCTCCAGCTCTAGTCCTGGCTATTTTTAGTAAGAATTTAAAAAATTTGTTGTTTTGTCTTTGTAGCAAAGTAAAAATAGATTTATTAAGGGAAAGTAAGAAAGCACTCCCAAGATTGGGAAGGATTCCAAGGGAGGAATACCCAAGAATACATAGTCTTTTGGTCTTTTTTGAGACAGGGTCTCCCTGTACACCCAGCCGGCCTGGCACTCACTATATAGACCACACGGGCCTCAGTCTCACAGAGATCCCACCTGTCTCTGCCTCCCAAGAGCTGGGGCTAAAGGTGTGCCTGGCCCCGAAGAGTAGATTTACTTAAATAAGTTTTAAAGATTTTTACTTTTTTTCTTCCTCCTTCCCTCCCTCTCTCTTTTCCTTCTTTCATGTATCCCAGGCTGGCCTTAAATTCTCTTATAGCTGAGGATGACCCTTGAGCATCTGATCCTCGTTTCTTCATATCCAAGTAATGAGACTGCAGATCTGCACCACCAGACCCAGTTTTGTAGTGCTGAGAATGGAACCCAGGGCTTCTCTCACACTAGACCAGTGCTCTACCAGCTGAGTTACATCCTTATCTTCCAAGTCACATTTTATTCCCATGTTGCAGAATGTTTTGTTGTTGTGCTGAGGACTCGTGCTGGCAAGTGCTATAGCACCACTATGCCCCACCCGAGCCTCCAGCCCCCAGCCCTGCAGCTTTGAAAGATATTTAGTCTCATTGGAGTAGTGTTGATAAACTTCAGTCAGAAGCTCAGAAGCTCTCTGCCTTCTAGAAACAGGCAGGCAGATCTTGTTCCAGCTCAGACTGGGCTATCTAGTATGAGACCTTGTTTAGACATAACCCCCCCTCCAAAAAAAAAAAAAAGTGTGCTTCCAGGTGCAGATATGTAGGAATACTTGATAATTCTGAGTACAATTACATAATGGCCATTATGGGTTGGCCTGCAGATCACCTCTCAAGATGATGGTCTCTCAAGATGGTTTCCTCTCAAGATGGTTTCCTCTCAGGGTGGCTGATCTGATTCTTCCAACTACTATCCCACCCAGCATCCCTTTGTCTTGTCTCAGGCCTTCCCAGGGTAGGACCCTCCAGCTCTGAGCTCTTTGGAGCAGCAACACAGCTGACCACCCTGTCCCTCAGGCTCCACAGGCATTGAGTGGCAGAGTTCTCCAGCAGACACAAATCTGAACTTGTTTCTTGAAGAATCTGATCATAAAATCATAAACCCTTAATAAGGGTTTTCTGCTTTCATTCTTAGCAGTTTTTATTTTCCATTTAGAACCAGGCACAAAGTCTACTTATAAGACAGGCTTTGAAAAAAGATTTTCTTTCCAAATTGTGTGTGTGTGTGTGCGTGCGTGTGTGCATATTAATGCAGGTACCTAAGGAAGGTGGAGCTGTAGATACTTGTGGTTGTTAGCTGCATAACGTGGACCTTGGGAACCAAACTCAGGTCCTCTGCAAGAACAGTATGTGCTCTTAACTGCTGAGCCATCTCTCCAGCCCCTGTATTAAGAGTTTTCAATGTTGAATTTTTATTCTTATCCAGAAGAAACTTTTTTTTTTACTACTTTTATTTTATGTGTATGCGTGTATTGCCTGCATGTAGGTAAGTGCACCTGTGTCTTGCAATGCCTGCGGAGGTCAGAGGAGGCTGTCAGATCACCTGGGACTGGAGTTATGGACAGTTGTTAGCTGCCATGTGGGTGCTGGGTTTCGAACCCGGGTCTTCCGCAAGAACAACCAGTGTTCTTAACCGTTGAGCCATCTCTCCAGCCCCCAGAAGAAATTTAAATAGCTACACATAATATAACTTTGGCTGTTTCTATTTCAGTGCAAAGAACTAGCCAAGTCCAAGGCCGAGGTGGCCTGTATTGCCGTGTATGAGACGGACGTGTTTGTGGTGGGGACAGAGAGGGGGAGAGCCTTTGTCAACACCAGAAAAGACTTCCAAAAAGATTTCGTCAAGTACTGTAAGCAATACATTCTTTTATTTTGTTCTTTTTTGAGACAGGTCTTCCTGGAGCCCCAGCTGTCCTGGAACTCACTATGTAGACCAGGCTGGCCTTGAACCATTGTGCCATCATGCCTGGCTGCAGTACATTCTTATATTTTGTATTTTATAAAATTTTTATGTTAAATATTTCTAGATGTGGTATCTCATACTTGTGTTTGTTTTGTTTTTGAGATAGAGGCTCCCCTGTAGCCTTAACTGGCCTGGCACTCATAGGTAGACCAGGCTGTCCTTGATTTCACAGAGATCTGCTTGCCTCTGCCTCCCAAGGTGTGCGCCACCATACCCGGCTTCACACTTTCCAAGAATGGGATTTATACTAAAAAAGACAGGAGACTTTCTGGCATGTTTATGGAAACTGTTCAAGACAAAACATTGAAATGGCAATGCAGAAGACATGTGGTAAAGGGTTAGCTGGAAACAGACCTGGTCTGTGCTAAGATATACTTTTTTTTTTTTTGGTCTTTTTGAGACAGGGTCTCCCTGTAGCCCCAGCTGTCCTGGAACTCACTACGGAGACCAGGCTGGCCTTGAACTCACAGAAATCCACCTGCCTCTGCCTCCCGAGTGCTGGGATTCAAGGCGTACGCTACCACACCCAGCTTAAGATATACTTTCTTACATGGTCACATGCCAACTCTGAAGAGAAGTCACTCAGGGCTCTGGGGTGTCCAAGGGCATACATCTGGTGATGGTTGCCTTTTCCTACATGTTTCTTGGTGAATGCTTGTGCTCAGGACAGCCTCAGTTGTTTGAGACTGATGCAGAGCTCCTTAGCTCTGGCAGCACAGGCTCTCTGTCCAGGTCCTCAGTCCTCAGTGAGGTCTGTAGCCCTCCATCCAGGAACTATTGGGAGCTCAGTGCTGAGTAGATGCAGAGGTGAGTTTACTGCAGTCTGTTAACACTCTGGGCTTGTCTGACGTTTAAATGTGTTCCTCTAACCTCTTCTTAGGTTTTATATTCACTTAGTGATAGAGCACTGTTTTACAGGTGGAAAGGAAACAAAAGGTGGTGTTTTTAAATAGCACATACATACACAAAACACATCTTTAAGTTCCAAACTGTAATTCTAGCCTCATGCTAGTCAGTGCATGCATGGTCAGAGGGACTGATAGGAGTGTACAAAAATAGTTTTGTTAAATGTCTTCAATTCCTAATGATAGTTTTAGTTCTTTTTCTTTTTCCTTTTCAGACATGGTTTCATTGTGTAGCTCAGACTGGCCTTGAACTATCAATCCTGCCACCTCAGCCTCCTGAGTGTTTCTTGTCCTTCTAGGACTTAATCTTGGAGTACTTGGGTAGCATGCACAAAGTTCTGGTTCCATTCCCAGGACAAAAAGAATACTCTTCCTCATCCCTGTGTTCCTATTACTTAGTTTATTTAGATAGGGGCTCATATATGTAGCAGAATTCCTGATCCTCCTGTCTTCACTTCCCTCGTGCTGAAATTACAGGGCATTTTACTATACTTGGTTTATGCAGTGCTGGAGATAGAACCCAGGACTTTGTGCATGCTGAACAAGCACTCCACCACCTGGGCTATGTCCCTGGACCCCTGTTTGTGGGGTTTTTGTTTGTTTTTTTGTCTTTTTTGAGACAGGGTCTCCTTGTAGCCCCAGTTGTCCTAGAACTCACTGTGTAGACCATGTTGGCCTCAAACTCACAAAGATCCACCTGCCTCTGCCTCCAGAGTGCTGGGATTAAAGGCTTGTGCCACCATGCCCAGCTCCTGTTTTTTTTTTTTTTTTTTTTTTTTTTTAACAGTCTCATGTAGCAGCCCAGGCTGGCTTCCACTCATTGATGCTCCTGCCTCCATCTTCCAAGTGCTGGGATTATAGATGTGTGCCAACTCACCCAACTTAGGTTTCATTTTAAAATTTTACCCTTATTCCTTTTCCTTTGGATTTTTATAACAAATTATGTTAGAAATAGTACCTGGGTGTACTAGTACCCAGCACTCAGGAGACTGAGGCAGAACGACTTCTGAGAGTTAGAGGCCAGCCTTAGGAGTGTGAGGCAAACCTATGCAGCTTAGTGAGACACTGTCAAAAAAAAAAAAAAAAAAAAACACTAAAAAGAGGGAATGAAGTGCAAAGAAAAAGCATATAGAAAAAAATACTCTTGCTAAATGTCAAACAGTAAAATGGGGGACACAAGCCTTTATGTCACTGGTTATTTTGCAGGTGTTGAAGAAGAAGAAAAGGCTGCAGAGATGCATAAGATGAAATCTACAACCCAGGCGAATCGGATGAGTGTGGATGCTGTAGAAATTGAAACACTTAGAAAAACAGTAGAGGACTATTTCTGTTTTTGCTATGGTAAAAGCACAGCATTGCCATTTTTGAGGAAATACATTATATGATATTTTCTTTTGAGAATTTTATTGTTTGTGTGTGGGTGCGTGTGCCATGGTGTTTGTGTAGAGGTCAGAGGACAGCTCTGTGGAGTCAGTTCTCATTCTACCTTTTGTGGGGTCCAGGGATTGAACTCAGGTCCTTAGCTTGTGTGGTACTGCCTGTACCCAGTAGGCAATCCTGCTGCCTCGAATGATAGTGTTTTCTAACAGTAGGTTATATGATTGACTTAACAATTCATGGTGCACACTTTCACAAATAAAAGATAACGTTAGGAATGACATTAATTTCAATTTCTATTTCAAAAGAACTCAAATAATTGTAGCTATTAATTTTATTATCATGTGTTTGTGTACATGTACATGGTGTCTGTATGTATGGAGGTCAGAGGACAAATTTGTGTAGTCAATTGTCTTCTGCCACTTTTGTTTGGGCTCTCGGGATCACACTCAGGTTGCCAGGCTTGCTTGGCAACGGCCTTTTCCCATTGAGCCATCTCGATGGCCAACATCAGTACTTAACCTCAACTCTCTGAAAAACCACTCTGCTAATCCAGTCATGAGGAACAACTAAGCTCATTATTATTACTCATTTTTTGTTATTATACTGAGACTGAACCCAGGACCTTGGATAGGCTAAGAAATTGCTCCACAGCTAATCCACACCCCATCCTTTTTTATTTTGAGACAGGGCCTCACTAAGTTGCTCACGATGGCCTTGAACTCACTCTGCAGCTCAGGCAGACTTTGAACTTTGGATCCACTTGCCTTCTAAGCAGCTAGGCTTACAGCTGTGTGCCAAAGTGTTACCTAAATACTATTTTAAAGAGGTGTTGAAACCAGATACTGTGAGAAGAGCCTGAATGCCACTTACTGGGCTGGGATAAGCTCTTGCTGCACTAGTTTGTATTTGTCTCTGTGTGTGTGTCTCATGAATGTGTGCATGTGTACAGATGCACAGCTATGTCAGGTCTAAATCAGGTGTCTTCATTAGTCTCTTTCTACCTTATTTCTTTAAAATTTTGTTTTTAATTTTATTTATTTTTCTTTTATGTTTGTGAGTGTTGTACTTACATGTGTGTAAGTGCACCTGTGTCATGCAGTGCCCGAGGGGCACAAAAGAGGTCGTTAGATCCTCTAGAGCTGGAGTTATGGATGGTTGTTAGCCACTCTGTGGGTGTTGAGATTCAAACCCAGGTCCTCTCTGAGAATAGCCAGTGCTCTTTAATTGCTTAGCCATCTCTCCAGCCCCTTAAACATTTTTTAACATTTATTTGTTAATTTATTGTCTGTCTGTCTTGTCTTTGCCCCCATGTGCATTCCATAGCTTGTATGTGACGGTCAGAGGACAATTTGCAAATGGTTCTCACTTTCAGCTGGCAGCAAGTACTTTAACTTGCCATCTTGCCAGCCTTTCACCTTATTTTTTGAGATGGTCTCTGAATGAACCCTGGAGGTTACCAGTTGCCTAGACTGGGTAGCCACAGAGCCCCAGGATTCTCTGTTTCCACTAGCCAGACTGGGACTACAAGAGTGTGCCTACCATGCTGATCTTTTTTATGTGGGTACTAGGGATCAGAACTCAGGTCTTCATGCTTTCTTGCAAGTGCTTTACCCATGGAGCCATCTCCCCAGCCCTAATGATTTATTTTTTTATCGTCTAACCATATGTTCATGCTTATCTTTTGTTCTTCTCCACCAGGTAAAGCTTTAGGCAAATCTACAGTGGTTCCTGTTCCCTACGAGAAGATGCTACGTGATCAGTCAGCTGTTGTGGTACAGGGCCTTCCTGAGGGTGTGGCCTTCAAGCACCCTGAACATTATGACCTTGTGACTTTGAAGTGGATTTTAGAGAACAAAGCAGGGATTTCGTTCATCATCAAGAGGTGAGGCGCTTTCCATTTTGTTCACACAGGATGAATATTGAGAAGATTTAGAATATTTGTACAATTCCTCTTTAATCCAGATGTTGTGCTAATGCTTTGCAAGTCTCATGTATTCACATAGTTTCCTGTTTTGTTTGAACACAGGCCTTTCCTGGAGCCCAAGAAACACCTTGGTGAGTATGTTCTTGGGTCACTACACAGCAGGCTCTTGCCGGAGTCTACTGCTTTCTCTTTGATTTTCCTTGAGTCTTTGATGTCAGACACTTTGGAGATGGAGTTGAGCACATAGAGGCCACTTCCTTTTTCTTTTTAGATCTGAAGTTTTGTTTGCATGTACCCTCTCTGTCTTCCTCTTCCAGGCTCTGATTTATTTCCCTGACATCTTTGGGATGGTAAGGCGGGATTGAGCACAGAAGTGCACTCTCCACAGCATGGACCCTTGAGTACTGGTCGTCTGTGAATGTAGATGGCCATAGATCGGTGTGTACTAGCGAGTCAGAGCTGAGGAAGGGAAAGACAGAATTCCTTATGGTTGAGAGCTTGATAGGTTCTCTTGAGGCACAAGGACAATGCTGGCAGGACTTCCTTTAGGGAAATCTAGTCATTCCATGTATGAGAAGTAATGAAACAGTGGGCCTCCAGCCAGTCCGCTTGACACTCTAAGAGTAAATACTTATGTCCCTGAAAACCTGAGCTGCAAAAAGATCAATGAGAAAAGTTAAATGTACATGCTTGTATGCAAACACACACACACGTTTTCTTTCTTTTTTTTCTTTTGTTTTAGACAAGATCTTTTGTACCCAGGCTGCCCTTGAACGCCTGATCCTTTGCCTCTATCTCTCAAGTGCTGAATTACAGGCATGTGCCACCACGCCTAGCTTGCACACATTGTCTTTTCTGCCAAATAAACTTTTTAAATTTTTCATTGTGGTGAAAAAAAATTTTTTTATCAGATTTATTAAGGTGTAATGGACACACTCTTTAAAAAGATTTTTAAGCCGGGCGTAGTGGCGCATGCCTTTAATCCCAGCATTTGGGAGGCAGAGGCAGGCAGATCTTTGTGAGTTTGAGGCCATGAGGCCAGCCTGGTCTATATAGTGAGTTCCGGGACAGCTGGGGTTACAAGGAGACACTGTCTCAAAAAAAGACAAAAAAAAAAAAAAGATTTTTAAAAACCTTCTTAGACAGGGTCTCCCTGTGTAGCCCTGGCTGCCCTAGAGGTTTACTTATGTATTGGAGGTGTGTATGCTTGTGTGTGTGTGTGTGTGTGTGTGTGTGTGTGTGTTTGTGTTGTTCATGCAGAGACCAGAGGTTGACATTGGGTGTCTTCTTCAATTACTCTATATTGTGTCTTTACAGATGGGGGTCTTTCACTGAACCTGGTGCTTGCTAGTCAACTAGACTGACTGGCCAGTGAGCTGCACGAATCCACCTGCCTTTGTCCCTCCTAGCAGTAGCATTACAGATGTCCTACCATGCCGGGGATTTTTGGGTGTTGGGAATCCAAACTTAGGTCTTCATTCTTGGTAGGCAGGCACTTTACTTACTGAGCCCTTAGTTTTACATTAAAAATGTTTTTTATATTTATTTTGTGAGGGGAGAGTTTGCTATAGCACAAGTGTGGAGGTCAGAGGATAGCCTGTGGGAATCTCCCCTTTCCTTCCATTATGTGGATTTTGGGGATCAAACTCAGGTTGGCAGGCTTGGCAGCAGGTGCCTTTACCAGCTGAGCCATCTCACAGGCTCCGGTTGTACATTCAGATGAATTGTGCTCTGAATGGCTCCCTTCTCTGAGAAGTGGTTGTCTGGGGCTGGGAAGTAGTAATTCAGTCCATAGCACTTGTTCATCACGCATGACACTGTCCTGCAAAAACAAAATATCACCCAACCTTGAACATGAAGATCTGCCTTGCAGGTCTTCACCGAACTCTGTAGCCTGAGCGCTGAGCTCTTAGATTTGGATCTACAGCCTTTGCTTTTCAGTGATGCTAGGCAAACGAAGTGATATGCCCCTCCCCCAGCCCAGGTCTTCAGTCTATTTTGAGTTGTTTGCGTAGTGTACAGAAGATATACGTTCATCTTTGCATCTGGGTCTCCATTATTCAGAATAAATCAGTGAGAAGAGCTGTGTTCCTTTCCACGTTGTCTTGGCAACTTTGTGGGAGTCAGCTGACCCTGACTATTTCTGGGCTCTCTCCAGCAGTGAGAGAGAGGAGACAGCACCCCTCTTCCTTCCTGCTGCCCTATGCTACTTGTTTCTTCCTTGTTGGACTGGAAAGGTCAACATCAAATATAGTAGATGTCACCTTGATGTCCCCATCAAGAGAAAGTGTCCTCCGTCACCCTCACTTTGATGTCCCTATTAAGGGAATAGTCTTCTCCCATCATTATGTGGGAAGGTGGCAGTGTGTGAGCAGGGTGTAGTGTCGCAGGCCTATAATTCTAGCACTCAGGTAGCTTAAACAGGAGAATGGAAAGTTTGAGGCCACCCTGGGCTACAAAGTAAGCTCAAGGCTAACCTTGGTTATGTAACAAGACTGTCTCATAAAAAGAAAATTGAAAGAGTATTTGTTATGCTTAAAGTTTAGCTAAAGATCATAGAAGTGGCATGCTCTGGGCCAGCTCAGCAGGTAAAGGCACTTACTGCTAGGCCTGACAACCTGCGTTCTATCCCTGGGACCTACATAATCTGGACCCAGTGGTGTACATCTGTAATGGCAGCGTCCTTGCAGTTCGTGTGCCAGCTAGCTTTCAGCATGAAGAAAAAATGAGAGAGACCCTGCTCAACAAGGTGGAAGGCAAAAACTGGCCCCTGAAGTTGCCCTCTGACCTAAACATGTGCCGTGGCACAGGCATCTGCGTGTGTGCACATGCACACAAAGACATGACGTGATATGAATGCTGTGGAACTTTAACATCTGTGAGCATTGTGTGGCTGTGCCAACTGAGGAGCATCCACGGGCTTTCATTATATGTGATTTGTGTGCATGATCAGTATTTTACTTAAAATACTTGAAAGCAGTCAGTTAAATCACTGAATTAAATTTTTGTCCTTCTGATCCACCCCCAGAGTCTGAGCATGTTAAGCACATACTGCACCAGTGACCTGCACTCCCAGCTGTGTGTGTGTGTGTGTGTGTGTGTGTGTGTGTGCACATGGTGTATATGTTTGTGTGTATGCATGCGTGTTGAGGCTAGAGGTTCACATCAGATATATTCCTCTGTTGCTCTACACTTTAGTTTTAATTTTTTTTTAACATTATTTATTGTGGGTGTGGATGTAGGAGGTGAGGTCAGAAGACCACTTGAAGGAGTTGGTATTCTCCTATTTTATTTAATTAGAGACATCTTGTTCTATAAAGTTGAAATCCTCTTGCTTTGGCCTCCTGACTGCTGAGATTATGGACCTGGGCAACCACGACCAGCTTGGAAGTGTTTTAGGGCTGCCACTCATAAAGTCTGTGGGTGCAGGTCAGCCGTGTACAGGTCAGCTGCTTGCAGGCCAACTGTGTTGCAGGTGCTTTTGTAGGCCAGAGGATAATATCAGATAGTCTCAGCACACCCTCTAACTTTTTTAAAGACACTTAAAAAATGCATGTGTGTTTTTTGCATATGTGTACAAGTGTGTGTAGAGGTCACGAAACAGCATGAAGGAGTCATTTCTCTCCTTTCGCTATGTGAGTTCAGGCTTCAAACTCAACTTGTCAGGCTTTTATAGCAAGTACCTGTACCTGCTGAGCATCCTGCTAGACCTCAACTTTGTTTTTGAGATAGGGACTCTGGAATCATCTAGAATGTTCTTGTTAGGCTGTCTGACCAGTCAAGCTAGAAGATCCTCCTGTCTCCTCATCCCCAGTGCTGAGATTACAAGCATGCACTATTGTGCCTGGCAGTCTTAAAAAATTATTTTCATTTTTGTATTTTATTTAATTAATTTATACATTTTATCTTATTTTTTGTGAGTATAAATGTTTTACTTCCAAGTGTGTAAGTGCAACAGATGAGTGTGCCTCGTGTCCATGGAGGCCAGAAGAGGGTGTTAGATTCCAGGAAATGGAATTACAAGTGGTTGTTAGCCACCATGTAGATTTTGGGAACTGAACCCTGGGTCTTCTCTGTAAGAGTCTCAGGTGCTCTTAATTGCTAAGCCATCTCTCTAGCACTTTATTTTTATTTATTTATTCGTTTGTTTGTTTTCTTGGGGTCTTTTGAGACAGGGTCTTCCTGTAGTCCCAGCTGGCCTAGAACTCACTATGTAGACCAGGCTGGCCTTAGAGATCTGCTGGCCTCTGCCTCCTGAGTTCTGAGTGAAAGGCATGCACCTCCACACCCAGCTATTTTATTTATTTATTTATTAATTATATATATTTTTTTATTTTATGTATGAGTATTTAGTCTGCGTGTATGTAAGTGCACCTGTATCATGCAATGCCAGAAGAGGCTGTCAGATCCACTGGAGCTGGAGTTACAGACAGCTGCTGTGCAGGTGTTGGGAACTGAACCTGGGTCCTCCGCAAAAGCAGCCAGTGCTCTTAACCACTGAGCCATCTCTCCAGCCCCCCCACCTTTTTTTTTTGTCTTTTTGAGACAGGGTCTCCCAGTAGCTCCAGCTGTCCTGGAACTCACTATGTAGACCAGGCTGGCCTCGAACTCACAAAGATCTGCCTGCCTCTGCCTCCCAAGTGCTGGGATTAAAGGCGTGCACCACAACACCCAGCCCCTCCCCCTCCCCTTTTTATGTTTAAGACCATCTTGCTAGCTATCCCCAGATGGCCTTACCCTTGCAAAGTAGACTACCCGCCCCTAAACTTGTAGTACCTGCTTTTGTGTCTCGTGTAGATTTGAGGTATGCATCACCACACCTATATTCCATTTTTAACCATAATACAGATATGTCATGGTGTGTTTGCTCATCTGTATGGTGAGGAAAATTTGGGTTGTATAGATTCTTGGCTGTGACAGGAAGGACTGTGTTGTATGTTGTTTTTCCCCTGCTACAGTGCTGAGGTGCAAACCTCATGGGCCTTGCTCATGCTGGGCAGGTGATCTGCTACTGAGCCGTGCTACCAGCCCTGTTGAGTTTAATACAGAGTTGGAATGGGATCTTGCTCTGTAGCCAAGGACAAATGCCTTAAATTTTGGTTTCTCCTCCCTCAGCCTCTCCAGTGCGTGCTTTTTCCTCTTTTTATCTCCAAACGTGTCAGGACTTTATTGCTGTGTGGGTTTTTTGTTGTTGTTGATGTTGTTGTTGACACAGGGTCTCACTGTGTAGCCATGGCTGCCCTGGAACATGCTATGTAGACCAACCAGGCTGGCCTGCAATTCAGAGATCCACTTATTTCTGCCTCCCATGTGCTAGGATTAAAGGTGTGTACCACCATACCTTTTAAATTGCATTTTAATTCTTTTAATTGCATTCACATAACATAGGAGTCAGCATTTTAAAGAGTAACACTCAGCAGTTTTTTTGTGTAAGTTGGGCCACTGTTGAGCATCATCTAACTTCAAAACATGCCCTTCATGCCTCACAAAGCCCTCACACAGCCAGATCCCCACTAATAGCCAATGTCACTATATTTACATCCGCAGTTTTATTGTACCCTACTTGAGAAATGGTTTGTTTCTATATTTGGCTCACTGACAAAAACAAGAGCTTGTTCTTGAAATGAAAGGTGGGTGAGGGGATCAATTGGCTCTACTTTTTATAGGGAAAACCAGGTACAAAACTACACAGCCTACCAGATCCTCCTTCCAGCCCTGGCTTCAGCTGTGATGTGATAGTGTGCATCCTATGATCTCTGTACTGAGAGTGGGGGTGTGTGAGGCAGGAGATAATTGAGAGTTTAATATCACCCTGGGCTACATAGTGAGACACTGTCTCAAAAAGCAAAAAAATAGGGTTGGAGAGATGGCTCAGCAATTAAGACCATTGCCTGCTCTTGTAGAAAACCTGAGTTCAGTCCTATGTGGCTACATTGTTGTTCATAACCCTCTCCAACTGCAGTTCTAGGTGTTCAGCACACTGTTCTGGCCTCTAAGAGCGCCATGCATGCCTGTGATACACTTACATACATGTAGGCAAAACACTCATACTCACTAGGCATGCTGGCACACACCTTTAATCCTAGTACTCAGGAGGCAGAGGCAGGCAGATCTCTGAGCTTGAGGCCAGCTTGGTCTACATATCAAGTTGTAGACCAGCCAGGGTTATAGGGAGATGCTGTCTCAAAATAAATAAATAAATAAATAAATAAAATAATAATAATAAAAGGTCTTTGGAAGTATTAATCCTGCTTAAAATGTTACTAAACCTGACTGTCATTTCCTTCTGCTTGCAGGTGGCCGTGTAATGGCTACAGATACTGAGCGGTCCCTCCTGTCTCCTGGTGGAAGGTAAACTGTCTTCACCAGCGCTGTGGTGGGGCCATCCTGAGATATCAGACTAGCAGAAGGCTTCACATCACACTTTAGAAATGCACTGTGCAGCTAAATGTTTGACTTACTGTAAAAATGTAATTTTGCTTTAGAGATAAGGCCTTAGATTTAAAGCCTAGGGTAGTCTGCAATTGGACTAAGCCTGCCTCAGCCTCCTGAGTGCTGGGATTGCAGGTATGTGGTATCAGGTGTAGGCTTTGACCTGGCATTCTGTACTTCTCAGGTAAAGCTGAACTGCAGTGAATTTGTTGACTACTGTGCAAGTGCCTCTCACATTTACATTCTCTCGTTAAGAGTTTCTTCTTTCTTTCAGTTGTGGCCCCATCAAAGTGAAGACTGAACCCACGGAAGATTCTGGTATGTCCTAGTGCTCTCCTTAAAAATAGAAATAAAGGATTCTCCTTGGTTGAGAAGGTTGATTTTTTTTTTTTTCTGGTCTTTTTGAGACATGGTCTCCCTGTAGCCCCAGCTGTCCTGGAACTCACTATGTAGACCAGGCTGGCCTTGAACTCACAGAGATCCACCTGCCTCTGCCTCCCGAGTGCTGGGATTAAAGGCTTGCGCCACCACGCCTGGCGAGATGGTTGATTTTGAGTCACTACTTTTCGTTCCTTGCTATACTGCCAGCCTGGCCTTGAACTCTAAAACAGCCTCCTGCCTCAGCCTGCCCATGCTTTTATGACAGGCACGCTTCCTGCTTTAATGTGTGTATTTCCCCAAAGACTGATTGGTTCATGCATGCATGTGGATGTGTCTGTGTGTAAATTTATGCTGTATGTTTAGATTGTGTCCCTGTGCTCGTACAGATGTCAGAAGGCATCAGATGTCCATGTTGGATGTCCATCACTGCTCCTTTGAGGCAGGGACTCCTAAGCCTAGGGCTTGCTTCAGCTTAGCGCACCTCCATGATCCTCCTGTCTCTGCCCCTCAGAGCTGGCTGACAGGTATTTGAGGATGCTTGGCTTGTCACTTGAATTCTCAGGTCAAACTCCACTCCTCATTGTGGAACAAGTGCTCTTAACCACTGAGCCATCTCTCCAACTCCCTCATTGTAACTTGAGTTTGTAGCTTCCTCATGGGTGATATTGAACATTTTTCATGTGCTCATTAGCTGTTCCTTGTCTTCTTTGATTACATGTCTATTTAAATATTGTGTCCTTTAATCTTGTGTGTGTACGTTTGTGTGTATGAGCTCAGGCACATGCATCCCTCTGTGTGGTCTCGGAGGTCAGATGAGAACCTGGACTGCTGGTCCTCATCTTGTTTGAGGCAGAGTCTTTTGCTTGCTGCTGCATAGCCTGGGCCATTCAGTTTCCAGGAATTCTCTGATCTCAGCCCCCATCTCACTGCAGGAAAGCTGCCATTACAGACACACGCCACTGTGCCCAACTTTGCAGGAGTCCTGGGGATTCAAACCCAAGTCCTCGTGCTTCTGCAGCAAGCACTTACCCACCAAGCCATCTCCCCAGCTCTTGTTTTTTAGTTTTGCATATATTTTGGATACCAGTCTCTTATCAGAAATACAACTTTTAGGGGCTAGAGAAATGGCTCAGCGCTTAAGAGCAATGGCTGTTCTTTGAGAGAACTCTGGTTCAATTCCCAGCACCCACATGGTGGCTAACAACTGTTCATAACTACAGTTCCAAGGGCTCTGACAGCTGCTTCTGGCCTCTTCAGGCACTGCATGACATGGGTACACTTACATGAAGGCATAACACTTGAACAATCAATCAATCAATCAATCAATCAATCAATAAATAAATAAATAAAAATAAATAAGAGAAATATGACTTTACAGATGTATCTTGTGGGTGGTCTTCATTTTCTTATGGTGTCCTTTGAAACTCAAAAATATTAAATATTAGGCTGGGCATGGTGGCGCACGCCTTTAATCCCAGCACTCGGGAGTCAGAGGCAGGCAGATCTCTGTGAGTTCAAGGCCAGCCTGGTCTACATAGTAAGTTCTAGGACAGCTGGGGCTACAGGAAGACCATGTATCAAAAAGACAAAAAAAATAAATAAATAAATATTGATGTGTTTTATGACTTTAAACAATTTTAAAGTTAGTATTTAAGGTGGTAGATTTCACTGGCATTTCCTCCTTTTTATTAAAGACTAAAGTTTTTTGTTTTTTGTTTTTTTTCATCTTTTTGAGACAGGGTCTCATGTAGCTCCAGCTGGCCTGGAACTCAGAATGTAGACCAGGCTGGCCTCGAACTCAGAGATCCACCTGTCTCTGCCTCCTGAGTGCCGGGACTAAAGTTGTGCATCACTACACCTGGCTAAAACTTAAAAAATATTTTAGTCTTGTGCTGGGCATGGTGGCACAAACCTTTAACCCAGCACTTAAGGCAGGTGGATCTCTTTGAGTTTGAGGCCAGCCTGTTCTATATAGTGAATTCCAGGCCAGCCAGAGCTACTGTCTTTTAAGATTTTTTTGTTGTTGTTTTGGGGGTTTTTGTTGTTGTTCTTTTGAGACAGGGTCTCCCTGTAGCCCCAGCTGGCCTAGAACTCACTATGTAGACCAGGCTGGCCTCAAACTCATAGAGATCTGCCTGTCTTTGCGAGCTCTACCACTACTGGCTGAGAACCTGTCTTTATAAGAAAAAAATTTTTTTATGTATATGAATGCCTGCATGTAAGTGCACTGCATGTGTGCAGGGCCCTTGGAGGCCAGAAGAAGGTGTCAGATCCCCTGAAACTGGAATTACAGAGGGTTCTAATCTCCAATGGGGCTAGGAGCCGAACTCAGGTCCCTGCAAGAACAGGAAGTGCTCTTAACTATTGAGCTCTTTTTAAAGACTTAAATGTTTAAAATCAAGTATATGTGTAAGTATGTGTGTATGTGCACATGAGTGCAGTGCCCTCAGGCCAGAAGAAAGAGGCATTAGTTCTGGAGCTGGAGTTTCAGGCAGTTGTGAGTCACCCAATTTGGGTGCTAGGAAACTGAACTCAGGTCTTCTACAAGAGCAGCAAGGGCTCTTAACCCGCTGGGCCATTCCTCCAGCCCTGTCACTGAGGCATCTTTTTTTTGTTTTGTTTTGTTTTGTTTAGCTTGAGACAGGGTTTCCCTGTAGCCCCAGCTGGCCTGGAGCTCCCTATTATGTATGTATACCAGGCTGGCCTTGAACTCACAGAGATCCACCTGTCTTTGCCTCCTGAGTGCTGGGATTAAAGGCGTGCCACCATACTGTGGCATTTCATGCAAGAATGTCATTATTGTTTTTTCTTCTTCCACTCCTACCCTTCTACCCCCTTTCTGTTTTTTTTTTTTTGTTGTTGTTGTTGTTGTTGTTGTTGTTGTTTTGAGACAGTGTTGCTGTGTGGTACTGACTGTCCAGATCCTGTACAGCCTGTAGCCCAGGCTGATGGTCCTCCTCCCTCAGCCTCCCAGGTGCTGTGATTACAGGTATGCTCCACTATACCTGGCATAAGGTTTATTTTTACTGTGTTTTTATATTTTACCTGGAAAATTGTTGCCCAACCTAAGGTCACAGAGATTTGTAATTAGGTTTCCTCTTGAGGTCTTACAGTCTTAGCTCTTAGGTTTTGACCAGTAAGGGATCATGACATTATTGTTTAAGGGTATTGTGAGGCAAGATAGGTATTTGTCAGCTTGCTGTGGATGTCTTCACACCTTTTGTTGTAAGTGAGCAGAGCATCCTGTCAGAGGTCATTCAAGGTTTGCCTCATACTCAGTTCCCATGTGGGCTGCCTTGCTGACTGTGTCCCCCCAGCAGTATCTTCCCTGTATCTTTGGAGCTTTGTCTTTGATAGGGAAGATGGAGGTCCAGTACTTCTTTCCTTGGCTCACTTTTCCCATTAGTAGATTTTTTTCTTTTTTTTTTTTTTTACTGTGAAGTTCTCTCATGTCTGAGCTTCATGCTGGTCATTGACTTACCATTTGTTTTCTAGTCACTGGTGATAGTGCTTAATTAAGAACTTAGAGCTCTTCCTGACTTCATTATAATTTTAACTCTCTCTATGTGTGTAATAGTTGCTGAAAATAGTTGACTAGTAATAGGCGATTTCCCCCAACACCTACCTAACAAGCTCTGTCCTTTCAGAGTCTTCAAAATACATGTGGGATCTGAGTGAGTGCTCTCTGGCTGTAACCTGTTAGAGACTGTCACTTGTTTTGTAGGCATTTCCCTGGAAATGGCCGCTGTGACGGTAAAAGAAGAATCAGAAGATCCTGATTACTATCAGTATAACATTCAAGGTAATACTGTTTAATGCAGCTTTTCTTTCTAAAACTGTTGGTAGCATTCAGCTTCCTGAGCAAATGCAGACCTGGTCACAGTGCCTGGTACTACTTTCCATCCTGGTCAGCAGTATTCAAGTTGGAGTTGGTCTACATCCTTGCTTTCACTTGCATGGTTAGTCTGGTTAATTTTAGCCACTTTAAACCTAGCATGGTGGCACATGTCTATAATCTTTGCACTTGGGAGGCTGAGGCAGGAGCATTGCTGAAAGTTTGAGGCCAGCTAGGGCCATATAGTGAGACCTTGGTTCAAGGAAAAAAAATGTTCAGTAGCCTTTTGTCTTTTTAGTTGTGAGCCTGAGCCTTTAACGGCTCTCCAGACCTTAGAGCCTCTTTAATGAGTGGATTGTGATTCCTCTTGTTTGCATCTGCCTGGTAGATTTTTTTTTTTTACTTATTTATTATTTTATGTGTATGAGTGTTTTGCCTGTATGTATATAAGTGAACCCATGTGTCCAGTGCCCGCTGAGGCCAGAAGAAGGTGTTGTATCCCCTGGAACTGGAATTACAGATAGTTGTTAGCTACCATGTGGGTTCTGGGAACTGAACCTGGGTCCTCTGCAAGTGCAGCCAGTGCTCTTAACTATTGAGCCATCTCTCCAGCACCTAGATTTGACTTTCTGACTTTCTTCACAGTGATTAGCCTTATTAGATATATTTTTTTAAGACTTTTTTAAAAATATTTTATTTATTATTTTTATTTTATGTGTATATGTGTATTGCCTGCAAGTAGGTAAGTGCACCTGTGTCGTGCAATGCCCAAGGAGGACAGAAGGTGTTGGATCCCCTGGAACTGGAGTTACGGACAGTTAGCTGCCTTGTGGGTGCTGGGACTTGAACCCAGGTCTTCTGCAAGAACAGCCAGTGTTCTTAACCGCTGAGCCATCTCTCCAGCCCCTGGGGATATTAATGTACTGTGATTTATAAGTGTGCAAATATCTGTATAGATATGTGTCAGTGATGTTCATTTTTTTTAAGCTTGTGTGTGTTTTGTGGAGGTACACATGTGGAGGTCAGAGGATAACTTTCAGGAGTCAGTTCTTTCCTTCTGCCATGTTGGTCCTGGGAGAGAACTGAGATTGTCAAGCTTGGTGGCAAGCAATTTTACCCCCTGAGCCAACTTACCAGCCCTACATTCGTGTTTTTGCAGTTAGTTTTGAATAGTTTACATGACAAAAAGATTCTGAGGATTTTGGAATTAAAAAGTTAAAATGTTGCAGAATAGCTGACCCTGCTTTGGTTTTTGGTTGAGGGTATCTTACTCATTTGTCTCCATGAAATTAACAGGAGACTTTTGGAGCTTTTAAATGAAATGTCTCTGTCATTGATTTTTTTTTTTTTTTGAGACAAGGTCTCCCTGTAGCCCCAGCTGACCTGGAACTCACTATGTAGAGCAGGCTGGCCTTGGACTCACAGAAATCCACCTCCCTCTGCCTGGGACTAAAGGCGTGTACCACTGTGCCTAACTTGGTATTTTCTTTATTAGTGTTGTTTTACTGCCCCCCCCCCTGCAAGGTGCTTTGTTTTAGAAATAAGTGACATTTTGTTTACTTAGTTTTTAATTAATTTTTATTAGCGTATATTCATTGTGCAAAAATGATAGCTCTTTGTTTTGTTTTGAGTTGTTTGAGACAGGATCTCCTATAGCTCAGGCTGGCCTCACACTCTGTATGTAGCCGAGGTTGACTCTTAACTTCTGACTCTGCTCTACCTCTTGAAGGTTTTGATTGGCCTTTGTGGTTGAACTGCAGTTGAGTTAGTTGAGCTAATGTTCCATGTTGTGCAGGCTGAGCAGGCCTTCGGTGTTTTCCCTTGCTCTCCGCCCGGTTCCCTCTGTCTTCTCCACTCTTTCCCTTTTCATGCTGGAGATGAACCCCGTGCCTGGAGCCACATCTCTGCCCTGCAGTGGTTCTCTGTGGCACTTGTACTGTTACTGTGTTTGTGAAATTCCTAATGTTCTGTTGAAGGCTTAGAATGTCTAAGGCATTTTCACTTTGATTTCATAGATGTATTTTGTATTTTGTTGTGTTGTGGCTACATGGTTCTGCTCCGAGTCCAGGTTCATCTCAACTCAAGGTACTCCTTATGCTGAGTGCTGGTGCTACAGGCTGGGCTTAATTGTTGTTTGTTTATGTTAAGATATAGCCATTGAAAACAATGTTTTGTGTCTTTAAATTGCCTAATCACTAAAAAGCTTGTCTTGAGGTTGGGGCTCAATTGGCAGAGTGCTTGTCTAGCATGCATGAAGCTCTAGGCTCCTTCCCCAGCACCATATATACCAAGTATGGTGCTGTATGCCTGTCATCCCAGCACTTGAGAAGTAAAGATTGGGAGTTTGAGGCCAGCCTGGGCGCCATGTGACCCTGTCTCAAAATAAAATCTGTTCATACATGTGAAGTGTGTCGTGCAGATCATTAGTCTTGTGAAGGTGTGGTCACCTCCTACTGCTTTGTACTGGTATATGGATTTTCAGTGTGTCACCTTCATGCATGTATGCCATGCGCTGGACCATGGCCCCAGCATTCTCTGGTCCACTTCTCATTGACCCCCTATCTCCCTCCTCTCCTCAAGTCCACCCTTCTATTTTCATTGTTTTCAAAATACTTTTACTGATTGGAAAAAACTTTTGTTAACTTGCTGAAAAGTGTTGGTTCTGGAACAGAGAGGTACTTGGGAGTCCTGCCTCTTGGTTCTGTGGCAGTGGATGCCTACTGATTATGCCCATCATTCAGCTTGGGAGGTAGTTTGGCTTTGTATCTTTCTAAGTTGCAGCTGTAAAGGAAGATCAAACAGCTGGTACTTTTGTGTGCTGGAGCAAGCGCTCCCCACTGAAACCACCCGAGCCTCCATTACAGACCACCATTCCCATCCAATCTGTCAGTCATCCTCGGTTTCCTTTGACTGTGCATGTACGTTCACCTCAGCACACTTTTCCATCCACTAAGACCATCAGCTAACACTGCTTTTTTATTTGTAAGAGGCCATCATTCACCCCATCTTCTTCAGCCAAATGTGCTCACTAACGTGACCCACATGTGCTTTGAGATTCCTCTTGCAGCTTATCTTTGTATTCCAAAGCAGGCCCTTCTGAAACTGAGGATGCTGATGAAAAGCTTCCCCTTGCCAAGGCTTTGCAAGGTACCACCTTTTCACTTCCACTCTCCATCCTGATCGTATTTAATGTTTCTTTATATTGGACAGACTGTTTTAATATTTATAACTATGTTATTGCTTTTCCAAATGGAAAAGGAAATATGTATTGGCCTTTTTTTTTTTAACATAACTGAACTTCACAAGCAAAATTTTTCAAAACCAATTTTCCCTTTTGTGAATCTAGTAATGAATCTCGAAATGGGTACATGACACACTTTCCTATTTAAGGTAAAGTACGCATTTATACCTTTATCAGCATAGTGAGCAGTCAGGCTGTTACTATGGTTAGCAATGTGCTTAGCTAGAGAAGGATGGGGGACCATCACTTGTCAATTTTTACGTCTATTACATGAGATATATACATTTATTTATTCGGAATAGGACAGTATTTCCAAACTTGGTCCTAGTCTGTTAGTGATGGCTTATCCTTGTGTCTGTTCTGGCTTTGATCTCCTGGGCTTGCTTTCTTTAGTGAAGTTCCTCTATGGTGTGATGTAATGGTCTAGTTCATGTTCCTTAGGTGTTAGACCAAAGAGGACACAGGATCGTGCTTCCCATGAACAGCCTCCTATCTGCCCTCATTCTTAGCTCAGTGGTCCCTTTCCTTCTCCTTCACCTGTAGCTTCACATCTGTGTCCTTGACAGTGAGAGACCTCAGAGCTCTATCAGTGCAAAAGCACAGGTGACAGGGAAGGAGCTTGTGTAGAGGAGAAGCATGACCATAGCTTCATTATGACTATAGAGCTGCTCTTAGCTTTGTGTTCTGGGAGTTCCTACTTTGGAGCAAATGGAAGAGAGCAGGACAGAGTGAAACTGAGCCCAGAGATCCATCAAGGTTTGTGGTTGAGTGACAGCTCCTGAGACTGGCCAGTGGTCTTTAGAACCTGAGCAAGTAGGCTAACCACTGTGGCTGTACGTTCATAAGTAAGCTTCCAAATGGAGCAGCAGTGGGTCTTGCCTCTCCCAGTGGCTCCCCTCCTGACAGGTGACCCTCTTCTTCCTTTTCTTGTCCCCAGCTTAGATGCTTGGGGGCTGAGAATGCCCCGGGCAGCTGTGCCCTGGACCCTATGTAGTCATATCCTAACTTTTAAGTAAGTAGTTTCCTTTAAGTACAACATTAAATCGGAGGGGTGTGGGGAGTGTCTGTAGCTCCCAGCACAGTGAAAAGGAACAGCAGGGAACATTCCACACACAGCAAGCCCAGACTTGGTTTTGTTCGGCATGTCAAGTCTTTAGGTAAAGAAAGAGTTTCTTCTGACTTGGTCCTTTTAGTGGAGTCATTGAGAGCTGATCCTGACTGCAGCTGCTTCTCAGACCCCAGCATCCCTCAGTGATATAGCATGTGGTGGCAGTAACTGATATAAATCCCAAACCCACATAGCTTGATTCTGTATGCTTGTATTTTCAAAAGTTTTCAGCTTTCTAATAGAAATGTTAAGTATTTTTCTGAGTTAGAAAACATTGTTTGAACTTATTGCTGAGCTTAAAAATCTTTTTGTATGTTTATTATATTGTATGATCACCTAGTTTTTCTTCTTTCGCTGTAAGTTTTTTATTGGTTTGGTATATATTGCTAATTTTCTTTTTAGGAAGTCATCATTCTTCAGAAGGCAACGAAGGAACAGAAGTGGAAGTACCCGCAGAAGGTTAGGAAAGACGGGGATCCAAGCCACCATGTTTTTGCAGTTTATAGGCTATACTACCCTTCAAACCCTTTATTTGGAAAAAGATGGTTGCTTGGTTGCTCAGCAACCTTAGCAGGCAGCTTCCTCTTTAAAGGTGGAGATGTGGGCAGTGGGCCCAGCAGTCGCAGGCAGTGGTGCTCCTGGTAGTGCCAAATGGACATGGCTTGTTTTGTTCTTCCTAGCTTTCCTGTGCTATACTGAAAGTCTATCAAGGAGCAATAGCTGCAGTCTTCTGTTCATTTTATCCAGTTAATTTATTATTTTGTATTTTTCCCACTACTTTAGAATTAAAATATTTCTGGTTATGTTCTGCTTAATTTTAAAGCGTACTCTTTAGCATGCCCAGTGTTTTAGTAGAGTAATAGATAAAATTTTTGGAGAAGGTTTTTGTCTTGTTATTCTTACATCCACAACTGCCCAACAAATGGCTGTCCCTTTGCCTGTTGCTCTGCTGACCACAGAGTGTCCCCTGCTGAGTGGCTTGAGTAGCTTCCTAGGGGTTTGAACATTTCCCAGGACATGACTAGTAAGGTGACTGGGTCTGGTTTCAGAATGGTTCTCATTAACTGCTGTTTGTAGAAAGAAAAGGGATTTATTCTATAACTCTGTATTTCTTGTGTTGTTTCATTTTATTTAAGAAATCATAAATTTGTCCTTTTCACCTTCTTTTAGTGCAGGACTAATCCTAATATCCCCACAGTGTGTGCTGGTCTTTCACAGTATGTGAAAGTCACAGACTTTCTAGGAAGTTGGAATGCATTCTCTCAGAAATACTGATAAGCTAGCCAGGTGTGGTAGCATACCCCTGTCATCCTACCACTTGGGAAACAAGGCAGGAGGATCAGCCATGAGTTTAAGGCCAGCCTGGGCTACATAGTGAGTTCCAAGCCAGCTTGGGCTACATGGTGAGACCCTGTCTCAAACAGTAAACAAACAACAACTGAAGAAATACTGATCTGCTAATTTGAGGCTCTTTGCAGATGGTTGTGATGCAAGGTCATGTGATGTTCCTCTGTGGCAGGTCTTAGGTTGAGGGGTAGAATTGTTAGCATGAGAACTCTGTGCAGGCCCAGAGTTCATCCAGTGACTAGATTGCTTTACATTTTGATAGGTCTGTCATCAACATTAGGTCTGGGGAGACTTTGTTCTTGGCTAAGTTTTTGACATGGTCCAGCATTAAGGGTTGAATTGCTCTTGGGCTCTGCTCATTACCCCTGTACTAACAAGTGAACATAATCTCTATAAATCAGTTCATCTCTAAGCTTTGTAAAATGAAAGATAGCTAATAAAAATTCTGAGCTTCCAGTACTGACATTCTCAGATCATGTTTTACCTAGTGACAAGAATGTCAGTGAAAGCACCCTGCAAGCTAAGTCAGATGTGTTGCTCGCACTGGCCACCCACACTCGTGGTTTGGAGATTTCCCTTACAGAATCAGGTGTGGTTTATTTAACAGTATAAACTACTCCAGGATTCTTGGAAGGGAGGCAACAGTGTCCAAACTAGAAAGGATGTTGTATCTGCACTTTCCAGCCCGAGCCAGGAAACAGCTGTGAGTGTGCTGTACCCTGAGTCCTTCCAGGCCACCATGCAGGTAATTTGGCACTACCCTAACGTTCGCCAGGGTTCTCCCAGGTGTTGTTTCCTTTTACTCCTATTTATGATCAAAGGGTCAAAGATTTTTAATAACTCTGAAGTGAATTAAAGTGGCAGTTGCATTTTATTGTAGGGTTCTCTTGGAATGCCAGATCAGTAAAGTGCTGGATGCACGGGGATGCTGAATAACGAATCATTTAGAATTTTATTTTTTTCAAGATTCTACTCAACATGTCCCTTCAGAAACAAGTGAGGACCCTGAAGTTGAGGTGACTATTGAAGGTCAGTTGTCTCAGCCTTGACTTGAGTTCACTTCTGGTCATGAGCGTCTGTGTCACAGTCACGCTGCTGAGCGCATCTCATCTACTCTGGAGGAAGCTGGGGACAGAGCAGCCCACGCCCCAGCAGGGCTCCCTGGGCTCTGGAGCCATAGGTGACAGAGTTAAGCCATGCAAATTAGTCCTGGCCTACAGGTAGAACAAGCTGTGCTTCCAGTGGGAATGGAGAAAGAAAAAGAAAATGACAGGCAGTTTTGAATCCTCACACAGAAACAGATGCTATGACCTGCAAGGTTATGATAGAAAAGACTTAACAGGCCAGAGCCCTGAGGTCTCAACGAGCAGAGGACAGAAGAAGGCCTCCAAGGCCAGCCTTAGACTCTTAGGCTCCTTATAATCCCCCTGCCTCAGCTTCCCAAGTAGCTGAGACTAAAGGCCTAGGCCACCACACCTGGCTAGTCAGTAAGTTGTCAAGCAAGCTCTCCCTAAAAACTCTGTGTAGATGATGACATACGTTTTTGTAAAACTGTTTAGAAGCAATGGTTACAAATAAATTTTAAGTTTCCAATAGCTGAGTTGCTTCACTTCTAGTTTTTTTCAAAGGTGATCAGAAGCGCAGTTGGACCAGTTTGTAATAAAAATGATTGTTACTTTTACTATTCAAGTGTCATTAAATGAGGATTGGCCTTTTCTATTCAATCAGTTTCCCAGTGTGCCTCTGGAGTTGCCCTCAGGTACTGCTCTCCTGCAGGATGGTACCTGCTGGGTACTGGAAGCTACACTCTGATGTTCCCTCCACCCGTTCTGTCCCCCATGGCAGGGTACAGTGTGGTGCTGATGGCAGATTGTCTATACACTTGTGTATGGACGTATGTATTTTTGCAAAACTGCAAGTGCGATATAATATAAATATTTGTCACACAGCTCACAGCTTTCGCCTGACCCAGTGACCACACAGTTGGTAGTTTGTTAGTTTTTCTGACTGCAGTATAACCTTTGGTTTGGGGCTTGGTGTGCTCTGTCTCCTTCTCTCTGTCTCTCTCCATGCCCTGTCCTCCACACGTGTCTCCATTGTGTTGCAGATGTGAGTTGATTGGTAGCTTCCACCTGATACAAGAATCTTTCCATACTTACATGTGTCAATTTTAGTTAATTAATATGCAGATTCATTTTTTTATTAACATAATTTTACTGATTTAAAAGCTACTTTGAACTATTTGTTGTTTAAAGAATTGAAATGTTGCTGCTTTTAGTTAAAACCTAATTCACTTTTAGAAGAGAACATTATAGGCATGTAAATGATATAATAATTCAACTCTGTCCTTTATGTAAAGATAGAAAATAGGTGATTATTTGAATTAGAGAATTAAAATTTTTGATAAAATGAATAACCAAGTTGTATAGTAGATCTTAGTGCTGATAGAGGGCTGCATTAGAATTATTTAGAAAAAAACACCATGTTTTCCCCCTTTGTTACCCAGGTCTCTCTGTGTAACCCAGGGAGGCTACATAGGGAGACCCTGTCTCTTGTCCCAGTCACAAGAAAGCTGCTGTGTTGATGAATGAGGTATTTTAGACAAAAGACATGTCTAGATGAGCATCTTGGCTTTCTTTAGGGAGTGCTTCCACTGTGAAGAAAGGATTGAGAAGAGCCAGTTATGACACTCGTCATTGCTAGAGATGACTTTATTTTCTCCTGTTAGATCTTACTATGTTTTTCAAATGTGTTCTAGAAAATATTTTTTAAAAAGAAGAGCGTTGTCATCCAGTAGGAAACTGATCAGATTTTACAGTGTTTGGCCTCGAAGCTTTGACTGTGTCTGTCTATGGTGATGCTCCTGTAGGTGGAGTTGGCACTTGTGCACAGCAGTGCAGCTGCGACGGCCTCAACGTCCATAGGCATTGTGATCACATCGGGGTGAAGTTGGACCATTTATACACACAGAAAAATCTGTTATGCTAGGCGCAGTGGCACTCACCTGCAATCCCAGCACTTAGGAGGCTGAGGAGGGAGGAATGCCACAAGTTCAAGGCCAGCCTGGACTACATAGTGACTACCAGGCCAGCAAGACCCTGTCCTGGGGAGGAGGGGGGAAGTTGGTATTTTTTTAGTCTTGTATCATGAGAGTTGCCTTTAGCAAATGGTGAGACTGTCTGTGCTAGAGAGCCATTTCCTTTTAGAACCATTGTCTTTAAGAGCCCTGCTCCCAAACCCAAGTCACTTATACATGCCATTGTGGCCCAGCCCCTCTGGTCGTTACCTTGTTTCACTGTTGTCTTGAAGTTGATTTTACTGATTTGTTTTCTGATTTATGCTGTGTTTTCATTGATGAGCTGTCAATGTTTTTTTTTGTTTTTGTTTTTTTTTCATTATAGTTGGAAAGTCACACAACTTTATGATGCTTATGGTTCAGCTCGTCACTCATCACACACTGCCACACTTGTTACTGCAGAGCTGGGCAGTCCCTGCACTTGAGTAGGGTCACATTTGAAAATGTTCTTCACTGTGAGCCTTGCTAAACAACCACTTAAAATGCCCACAGTGAGCACAAATGAGCATTCTGTGAATTTGGACAGTGTTGCTGTAGCACTTCTGTGTCAGTGTAGGGTGTAGAGTTGACAGGTGACAGGCTGTGGGGATGGCCTTTTTTGTGACATTAATGCCATTGGTTGATAGTTGACTGCTCCATGTATTTCAAGTCTACAACAGCACATGTGCTCATTTAGACATTCCACAAATATAAGAGCCTCTGTCTGCCTGGTGCTGAGGCCTTAGTGTTCACAGTAGGCTGTCCAGTGGAATGCTTTGCCTGGAGCAGGCACAGGTGGAGTCCTTCACCTTGAGGGAGACAAGGCCACTGTGGAGCAGGTCAAGAGCAGCTAGTACTGGAGGAAGGCCCTGTCCTGGGCAGGGAGGCTAGGGGCTTCTCACTAGGGGATTCTAGGCAGGTGCTTTACAAACACTGAGCCACACCCCACCCCCATTACTGTTTTGTTTTGTTTTTTAATGGAAGTATTTCTCATAGAGAAAAATATACCAATTATGTTTTAAATATTTTCTAATTTTTGTTATTTTTGTATTAAATATTTTCCTAGGCGTTTTTTAAATGTTTGTGGCCAATTGGGTCATCTTTATAGAATATGTTTCATTACATCTCTTGTGTTATTAGGTGGGTTTGACTGAAGGTCTTGACACAAGAAAATCTGACCTGCCACTTCCCCCTGGCCTCAGCTTGAAAAAAAACGATCTTTTGAGAGGTGACCACATTCTGTCTCCAGTCTCAGCCCACAGTCCAACTGTGTGAGTGACAAGGTTAGCTTCATCTCTTGAGTGACCAGCTGGCCTCCCGTCTTTATTTTTTCTTACATGAGACGCTATAATGCATCTCAGGCTGGCCTTGAACGCACTTTGTAGCCTTCCTTGAACTTCTGATCTACTTCATGCTGGCACATAAGCATGTGGCACTATACCTAGTTTCCATCCCAGTTTTTGTCAAAGTCTAGGTCTGTAGCCTAGGCTGATCACAAACTCAACATCCTCCTGCCTCTCTTAATGCTGGAATTACAGGCTTTACCACCAAACCTGGCTTTAGCTTGTTTGATTTTGTTTTTTTTTTAAAACCCTTTTTAAGAATAACAATTATACCACCTTAAAATAGTTATCATAATAATATTTCACTGTATTTGAACAGTTCTTCATGATAGCTCTTATCCTTAACGGTAATTATTTTTTGCTCCGTTATTATTTATTGATTGGTTTTGAGATAAGGTCTTATATATTACAGGCCAACCTTGAACTGTGTAGCTGAGGATAATCTTGAACTTCTGATCCTTCTGTCTACTGTTTTTTTTGTTTGTTTAATTTTATATGTATGAGTGTATTGCCTGCATGTATATAAGTACACCCATGTCGTACAATGCCCACAAAGGTCAGGAAAGAGCGTCGGATCCCCTGGAGCTGGAGTTATAGACAGTTTTAAACCACCATGTGGATGCTGGGAATTGAACCGGGGTCCTCTGCAAGAGCAGCCAGTGCTCTTAACCATTGAGCCATCTCTCCAGCACCTCTACTATGTTTTTAAAATAAAGATTCTAGCCGGGCGTGGTGGCGCACGCCTGTAGTCCCAGCACTTGGGAGGCAGAGGCAGGTGGATCTCTGTGAGTTCAAGTCCAGCCTGGTCTACATAGTGAGTTCCAGGACAGCTGGGGCTACAGGGAGACCCTGTCTCAAACAAAAAAAAAAGAAAAAAGATTCTATGAATGATTTTTTTTTTTAAATGTGTATGAGTGTTTTGTCTGCAGTGCTGCAGAGGCCAGAAGAGGGTATCATATCCCCTGGAATTGAAGTTATGGGTGATTGTTAGTCACCTTATTTGTACTGGGAACTGAACCTGGGTCCTCTACAAGAGCAGCCAGTAATCTTAACCACTGAACCATCTTTCCAGCCCCTCTATGAATGATATTTACAATGATGTTTGAGCTGACATCTTAGTTATGTGTACTGATGTTTTTGGTGACAAGAGGGTGACAGTAGTTATTCTTCCTTGAGCCAGGTGTCCTCACTTAGTATTAGATATGTTTAGAGATCAGGGCAGAGTTTAGTTGCAGCCTCCACCCCTCTGAAAAGCCCATGGAACTCCACTGTGTCCTAAGTGGTGTCTCCACACGGCACTGTAACAGGACCGCAATGTTTGTCCATCCATTCTGTGACCCTCATGTGGTATTGGAAGAATTTACAAGCCAAGCCTGGTGGTGTGTGTCTTCAGTTCCCACACCTCAAAGGCTTAGGCAAGAGGTTTGTAAGTATAAGGCTAGCGTGAATAATATAGTGAGACCTTGTGTCAAACAACAGCTGGCATGTGTCTCAGTGGAAAAAGCTCAATGCTCTGAATTCAAGCCCCAGCAGAAATTAAAAAAAAAAAAAAATTTTTTTTAAATCCCCAAACTAACAAAAACCAACAAAAAATATTTGACATATAGTTCCCTCCTTTGTTTAAGTCCATTAGTATCTTTTTAAAATTTATTTTTCCATTCATGCTTTCTTTAGTTTCTTACACACTTGTATTATTAGTGTAAGTGGCTATCTCCATTAAAACTTCTTTTCTCAAAAACATTTAAATACCTAGTTGAGCAAACGAAGATTTATTAGGGAAGCAAAAACAGGTGACAATACCCCGAAGCAGGTCAGAGGAGGAGAGAGGACCCCTGAGCAGTGTGGGGAAGCACCAGGGACTGTGTAGAAAGTTCTTTGGCATGCCTAGAGCTGTCCTGTGCCACACTCCAGCAGCTGGCACCTGCAGTAATGACTCTTTTTCTCTCTGAAGATGATGATTACTCCCCACCCACCAAGAGGCCAAAGAGCAGTGAGCCACCCCCACCACCGCCAGTTCCTGAGCCCACCAACGCTGGCAAGCGCAAAGTGAGGGAGTTTAACTTTGGTAAGTTCCATGCCTCAAGGAAGGCCCAGATGGCAGTGGCCAGCACCGTACTGTGGGAGGTTGTGGGATCTACCAGTATTACGCGGGAAGTAGACTGCACAGTGCTGTCCTGCCTTGCAGCTCTGAAGCCTTCCTTTGCCAACTTGTATCACTCTTCATTCTCAGTTTGCTTTGCTGCCTACCAGCTGCTAACCTCATCCCCAAGTGTCAGTCTATTGTAATTGTTAGAAATAAAATCTGAGGTTCAAGGATCCCTCCCCAGTACTGTACAAAGAACACATGGACAAAGAGAGAGAAAGTAACTCCCCAAGGCAGATTTCACTTTTACAGAATGGTGCGTGATGAGGTCAGTTGGGCCCAGCAAGCTCATATCACCCAGAAGCTTGATGGGTTTTTAGCCTCAATGCTGAGTTCAGCATCTTTTCCCCATTGTTGGGGTCTGGCTTCACAGTCTTTCCCTGTTGGCTGGTGGCGGGAAGAGCTCCACTGCTCTAGGACATCAGATTTGGGAATATATCAGGGCCTTTCCTTAAAAAAAAGTCCTACAGGGTCTGGTGGAATTAAAAGACTTCTTGTCAGAAACCAAGTTTTATAGAGTTTGAAAGAAAAGACTAATGTTTAATGTTTCTTACATAAAGGAATAATTTTGTGATATACATTTTGAAGATTTAACGTACAATAAATGTTTTGCAGCCTGGCATGGTAACATGCCTTTAATCCCAGCACCTGGGAGATAGAGGCAAGCCTGTCTCTGTGGCAGGTCTCTATTGTGAGATCAAGGCCAGCTGGGGATACCCGGTGGCAGGGGGCAGTATATATATATATGAAAATATCTTACAGTTTTTGGTGGTGTTGGTACAGAAACCAGGGCTTTGAGTGTGCTAGGCCAGTGTCACACCCCACCCTTGGGAAAGAATTTGAGTGTCCTGTGTCACTGCTATCCTGGTTGCTAGGTGCTACACTGTGTGGGGGTATTCATGAGTATGTGGTTCTAGCCCCAGCAGCTGTGTCAGTTGTAGTTCCCACTTGCATAGTCTTCTGTACCGATGGATGTGCTCACCAGGATTCCAAGTGTCCAGAGGACCTTCCTCTTTTGCCACTATTTTGCAGTGCTTAATTTTGGACTGGTCTTTTCTGATAAACTTTAAATGTCCCTGTAAGTCAAGGGAAAAGCCTTTAGGAGAGCAGTGACAGGCCAGCTTGGGGTGGGCTGAGAAGATGGGGTGCTGGGCTTGTTGAGAAGTAACTTGCTCTCCATTTTCAGAGAAATGGAATGCTCGCATTACTGACCTACGGAAGCAAGTGGAAGAGCTGTTTGAAAGAAAATACGGTAGGTCTGCATTGAGCCCTTTCCAGTCTGCTCAGGCCAGCGAGGCAGACCTGCCAGGGCACTATGCCTTTCTTTACACCTATCCCTTGCCACCTTAGAAACCTGCCACAGAGTAAAGGCAAAATTCTCTTGCTGCTCAATTAGTGTCTCTCTCTCCCACTGGAAGCACACATACTCTCAGGTGGTCTTGCATGCTCTTGGACTGCTTTCTTAGGGTATATTTCCTTGTATTCTGCTGTGTTGAGTTTGTTCTGCATTGACACACTCTTATTTAATTTGCTTTTTTTATTCCCCTGAAGTGGGGACTGAATCCAGTCCCTGTGCATGCTGGTCAGGACTCTACCCCTGAGCTACAACCACAGCCCTTTTTTTATTTGTTATTTTGAGACATAATCTTGATAAATAGCTCAGCGAGCCCTTGACTTATAGTCCTCCTGCCTCAGCCTCCTAAGTAGCTGGAATTACTGCTGTCCTTTGCTATCAGGCCCCACTACGCTATTTTATTTTATTTATTGAGACAAGGTCTTGCTATTTTCACCCTGGCTAGCTGGGCTATGTGTACCTGGCTGGCCTTGATGCCTCTGCCTCCTGAGTGCTGGAATTGAAGGTGTCACCACACCTGGCCCCATTATGCTCTTATTGTATAACTGGGCTTGAGGTAAATTTCAAACAATTTTTTGTTATTGTTTTATTTACTTTTCTTGTGTCTGTAGGACAAGATCTTGGCTATAGCCCCAGTGAGCCTGAACCTTGACCCTGCTTTAGCCTCCCCAGTACTAGAATGATCAGCAGGTGCTTCCAGGCTTTACCGCTCTCATTCTGTACCTTTTCATGATGAAAGAAACAATCACTTTGTCATGACTGCCCAAGAATGACAGATGCTCACCTTAGGACACCACTGAAAATGTCATGTTTTCCTTTTTTTTTTTTTTTTTAATGACTCCTGACAATAGACTAAGTAGCTGTGCAATTCTGGATCACATCAATTTTTTTATTTTTCAAGACAAGGTCTCACTGCTTTGCTCAGGCTGGCCTCCAGCTTGGGCTCATGGGAACTTCCTGCCTTGGCCTATGCAGTAGCTGGCTGTGGGTCGTCATCACTGCTCTGGGCTTTGCACAGCATCACAGCACTAGCCTGTAGCAGCCAGATACTTGAATGAGGTATTTTGGCATAAATGTTTTGGTGTTGTTTGCCTCAATAAATTTGAAAAGAATGTGTATTTCCTAACCATAGGTGATATCCTTAAGTGAGGTCTAGACTTAGAATAAGCTTGTTAAATGTGGCACGCTTCCCTTACTTGCTTAAGGCCTGCTCAGCGTTCTTCCTTTTGGTTAGTTAGGCCTTACCCATTTCAGAGTGGAACACAGTTGAGGCAGAAGCAGTCAGAGTCAAGTTGGGTCCAGGGCAGATGCCATATCCCTCTGAGCCTCCTGTCTTGTGGAAGGCAGAAGAATGGAAGTATATCTGAAGAGCTAATGTGAGGCCTCACAGAGTGCCCAGCTCCTTCAGAGTCCAGGATTGCTCTTTGCATTTCCTTCCTGTTGTTCATTTTAGCTCCGTTCTGAGTTAAGGTGGATTACTTCGTGTGACAGCAGTTCCATAGTTTGTACTTTTCATGCATTGAAACCAAGGCTTTTAAAGGGGCTTCTGTTGGATTGAGATTCATTAGATTCTTCTGTCCATAAGATAGTTAGGTTTACCGACTGCTGTGAAGTCAGCACAGCAGTCTTTACAGGTTACACCTGCCAGTGGGTTGAGTGTGAGCTTAGTCAGGGGCATCTTGGTGTCTGGGTTTAGGGGATTAGGAAAGTACATGCTCTGTGTCCTTCTCAACCACCAATATATCCAGTGTACTTAAAACATTAATACAAACACTGATGTTTAGCATCTATATTTCTACACAGAGTAATGGCTGGCTGGTGGTGAGCTCTGTGGTGGGGCTCACTTGGTACACTTGCTGACCCTGCCCTTCAGGCTGTGAAGTCTATAGTGTTGTATTATTTTACCCATAGTTAAAATGGCTGTTTTGCAGTTCAGGAAAGTCCTCCCTTCAGTGGAAAGAAATCCTTTCATAAATCCAGTAGTAATTACACTAATGTTCACCTTCTAGAAATGTGACAGTTCAACTCTGTACATGATAGGTAATGACTAGTGTGCTTTTGGCTTAAACATAATTGTGAAGACAAAGCCTTGCCGGGCGTGGTGGCGCACGCCTTTAATCCCAGCACTCGGAAGGCAGAGGCAGGCGGATCTCTGTGAGTTCGAGGCCAGCCTGGTCTACATAGTGAGTTCCAGGACAGCTGGGGCTACAGGGAGACCCTGTCCCAAAAAAAAAAAAAAAAAAAAAAAAAAAAAAAGACAAAGCCTCACTGCATACTTGGCTGTGGTTCTTTCTGGAAAGTCCTCAGGGGCCTCGTCTTGTAATAGTGTCTTTCTCTTTCCATCCTCAAGCTCAAGCTATAAAAGCCAAAGGTCCGGTGACGATTCCATACCCTCTTTTCCAGTCCCATGTGGAAGACCTTTATGTAGAAGGGCTTCCAGAAGGGATTCCTTTTCGAAGGCCATCGACATATGGCATTCCTCGCCTTGAGAGGATATTGCTGGCAAAGGAAAGGATCCGCTTTGTGATTAAAAAGTAAGATGTGCGGGGCTCTTGTCTGTTGTGGTTGGTGCATCTTTTTTATTGAGACAAATATTCATTAATCACTAGGGCTGTATTGAAAAGCTTAAATTACTGTTTATTTTCCATGTGTGATAGGCACGTATATATCTGTGTATATTTGGACATGTGTGTGTTTGGAAGGCCCCAAGGTTAATTGCCTCCATCATTCTTCCACCTTATTCACTGAGGCAAGGTTTCAGTTAAACCCAGAGTTCCTGATTGATCTAGCCTAGCTAGCCAGGTTGCCAGGGGTCCTGTCTCTGCTCACTGAGGCCTCCATGCCTACCTGGCATTTTTATGGGTGCCAGGGTCTGAGCCCTGGCCTCTTGCTTGCACAAAAAGCACTTCAAGTCTTGAGCCATCTCCCTGGCCAGTCTTCCACTTTGTAATGCGTATGTGTGTACAGGAGTGTCTCGGCCATACCAAGGTTGTCTTTTGAAACATAACCCTGCCCACACCTACACCTGATGGGCAGTAACCATTGCTGATGATGTTCAGTGTGTACACTAAGGAAAGGAGCCACAGTGTCAGGAGTGTCCTACTTTTAGGCCTGAAAACATTAAAACAAACATGTTAGTGTACATTTGGAGAATTAAAAGCAGTGAGCCCTTGGAAGATGAATGAGGCAGAATGCTGGACACGTCCTTGCTTTCTGTCTTCTATACAGAGAAGTAAACAGCACAGTGGCCAGAGGGGCGGCTCTAATGCTCCATCTTAAATGGCCACATCATGCACTTCTGTATTGCTTGGTTTGGGGGAGGTCTTACTATTTATTTTGTTTGGCATATGGAACGGAAATCAGAGAACATCAGAACCTAGTTCTCTCTTTCCACCATGTGGGTTCCTTGGATCAAACTCAGGTTGTCAGGCTTAGCAGTAGGCACCTTTAAAGCCATCTTGCCAGGTGCCTCTGCCCTATTTCTTAACCAAGATTTCAACAGTAGGTTTATGAAACAAGAAGAGGAGCTAGAGAGACAGCTCAGTGGATAAGAGCACTAGGTGCTCTTGCAGAGGACCTGGGTTTGGTTCCCAGCAACCATATGGCAGCTAACTCCAGTCCATAACTCCAGTTCCAGGGTATCCATGGACATTGTACACACATGAAGGACTTATATACATGCAGGCAAAACACACATAAAAATAAAGGCTAAGAAGAACATTTATGAAGTGGTACAGCAAATGAAGATGAAAGAAATCTGTACCCATGAGGCAGAGTGTGTGCCCTCACAAGGCATAGGTGGGATATGGCTGTGTAGGAAACTGAAATACAGTAGCAAGCCTGAATTTAAGATGAAAGGGCCAGAAGACTACCAGTCTAGTAGATCTAAAAAATGATACTGGAGCCGGGCGTGGTGGCGCACACCTTTAATCCCAGCACTTGGGAGGCAGAGGCAGGCGGATCTTTGTGAGTTCGAGGCCAACCTGGTCTACATAGTGAGTTCCAGGACAGCTGGGGCTACAAGGAGACCCTGTCTCAAAAAAGACGAAAAAGACACTGGGGTATGGCGGTGCACACCTTTAATCCCAACACTTGGGAGGCAGAGGTAGATGAGTCTCTGTGAGTTCGAGGCCAGCCTGGTCTACATAGTTCCAGGCCACCAGCTGTTGCTACAGGGAGACAGTGTCTTAAAAACACACACACACAAAAAGTCAAGAAAAATTAATAATTAAAAAGAAATGATGCTGGGGTGCTTCTATCTAGTGACATCTGAGTAGGAACAATAAAAAGAGAGAAGAGGGCTGGGCATAGGGCATGCCCAGAAATCCAGGGCTCTGAAAGCAGAAGCCAGCAGAACTCTGTGAGATCAAGACTAGTCTGGTTTGCATAGTGAGTTCCAGGTCAGCTAGGGCTACAGGGAGACCCTGTCTTTAAAAAAAAAGTAACAATTGTTTTCCACGCTTGAAAACAGTAGTGAAGTCTTTGCTTTTAAAAGTGTGAGGCAGTGTATGGATAGGAATTGTGGTTCATGGTATCTCCATGTCCTGAGAAAAACCTCACTGCTTTGCTAGTCTAAAAACTGATTTTATAAAAGTCAGATAATGTTTTGCATCACAGCCTCCAGCCTACCACTGTTGTTGAGCCTTATGTGTCACTCAGTTTCTGACAGCTCAGAATTGCTCTGCAGGCACTCACTTCTGCACACCCAGGAAAAGGTCTGCCAATCCACCAGTTAGTGTTTGTAGAGCACATTCTGGGGTTGTTTGTCAGGGAAAATTCATCGTGTCTCTTTCTCTGCACTTACGAATGTTGAAACATATTTAGAGCTTTTTAAAAAACCAGATTATAGATGTGTGAAAGAAGGTAGTCTTGAATATGATAGAAAATTAAAGATTAAATTATTTCTAAATTTTAAAATGCGTGTGCATAGCTGGGTTTCCGCTTTCACTCTGAACACACAGGCTCCATGAAGCACCTTATAAGACAGTTAGCAGTTATTTTTACTCTGTAGGAACCTTGGGAAGTTAGGTTTAGTGGTATGAGCCCAGAATCTCTGCAGTCGATCTTGAAGATTTAGTATTTTGTTGTGTGTGCTCATGTTGCCACCATGCTACCTATTGCCTGGTGAGTATTCAGCTCTTAATTCTTCCCTTCCAGACATGAACTTCTGAACTCAACGCGGGAAGATTTACAACTGGATAAGCCAGCATCAGGAGGTAGGTCTCCAGCCAGATCAGAACAGTGTGCTCAGGAATCATTAATACCCATAGCAGTGCTGCTTTCTTTGTGCACTTGAAGTGATGGCTTTTAGCTACCACTAATGTGTCATTACAGATTTGTACATTCCAGATTTCTAATACTCCATAGAAGAATAACACTTTTCTCCTACTAATAGCCATAGATCGACAGGTTGGTGGCTAGGTAGGAAGATAAGTAGATAGGTGGATGGATGGTTGGTAGGTGGGATAGATAGATAGATAGATGATTGATAGATAGATAGATAGATGATAGATAGATAGATAGATGATAGATAGATACATAGATACATAGATTGATAGATACTCCATTTCTGTGCAGACAGAACTAAAAGGATGATGTTCTGCTTTAGAGTTGCAACATTTCTTACCTGCATAAGTGGAGTAAATAGTTTACTGTCAAAAGACTACATTTGTTGGTTGCATAGCCTCATCAAATCCGTGTAGTATCAAGGACATAGAGAGTTCTCCTCTCCAGAGCATGGAGCCATGAACACCATCATGTGCATGTCACACGTGTTTTGTTGTTGCCTGTCCCCTGAAGAGGAATTGTTCTGTGGAGCTGTGGCACCGTGAAAACTGTTGCTAGTGCTGCCATGTCAGGGTCAGCATTCTTTTTTCAGTAATGAGTACTTCCTGACTTAGGAATAACTTTAGCTACAGAAAGGGAAAAATTCAGTTATTATATAATCATATCATTTAACAACCTAAGAATTAAATGTTTAAGTTGAGAAAACTTATGCTTTCTGTTCTCCAGTAAAGGAAGAGTGGTATGCCAGAATTACCAAGCTAAGGAAGATGGTAGATCAGCTTTTCTGCAAGAAATTTGGTAAGTCCAATTTCCTTCAGACTAAACTAAATTTTCTGTGTCTGTGTGTGGGTTTATGTACATGAGTGCAGGTTCCCTCAGAGGCCAGGCGAGGGCATCAGATCCTTGGGAGCTGGAGTGGTTGTGAGCCATCCCATAGGGTGCTGGAAGCCAAACCCAGGTCCTCTGCAAGAGCAGACAGTGCTCTTAACACTGAACCATCACTCCAGCCCCCCTCTTGCTTTCTTTTTTTTCCTCTGAGACAGGGTCCCTGTGTCTAGCCCTGGTTGGCTAGAACACAAGGCTCTGTCTCAGCCTCTGAGTGCTGGGGTTGCAGCCACATGCACTTTACTTTGCATCTTAAACTTTTGGTAACATTTCATGTACTTGGCTTGATTACTATTGCAGCCTTGTAACCAGTCTCTCTTCCTGCAGCAGAAAGAGGTCTAGTTTCTTTTTTTCAGAAAGACATTCGGTTTTTCCACTGCAGTGGGGTGGTGCCTGGGCATGAAGTACAATCTGCCACCAAGTCAGCATTTAAGGTATCCTGTCCTCATCTGTATCCCTGGTTGTCCAACATGAGTTGGAGGCCAACTATCCCCCTTCCATCAGGTGGAAAATGAGCCAGGGAATAGCGCAGAGCTCTTCCTCACTGCCGTCAGTGCTTTCCCTAGACATTGAGCAGCATAGATCAAGCAATGCCATTGTTTATTTGGGTCGCCACCATCTTATCATTGTGGTTCATGAGTAGGAAAGGTGTCTAGTAAGTGATGCATATCTGTAGGGGATGAGTCCAGCTTTGCTTTTGGGGATTAGTTGTCGAAATGAGTACAGTAAAGAATCAGCCACCCCAAGAGTCTCACAGGTGTTGTTCAGCAAGCTGACCTGGCTGTGTCAAGGAGTTTGCACAAGAGGCCAGTGGAAAACAGTTTGGCTTTTTCTCTGCATAGTGGAGAAAACAGCTTAAGGGACTGATCTGGCTCATTTGGTAGAGCTTGCCTTGTATGCTGGAGGCCCTGAGTTTGATTTCCAGTACTACAAAATAATCTTTTTTTTTTTTTTTTAATTTATAAAGAGAAAATAGATTAAGGGCCTGAAACTCACTGTGTAGACCAGGTTGACACTGAACTCAGAGATCTACCCACCTCTGCCTCTTGAGTACTGGAATTAAAGGTGTGTACCACCATGCTCAGCTGCTACCCTTTTCTGTAACTGCTCTCAACTCAAACATGCCTTCTTTTGTTAAAATTTTATTTTATAGAAAGCCTGTTAAAATTAGGTTTATATATTTGTCCTTTTTAACAGATAAGACTTGCTATGTCACCACAGGTGTGAATCTGAGCCCTCACTATTTTGTTTCTCTTGCGCACATTTCTGTTACTACTGTAATCATGATGACATTGTATGTGGTTTTCAAACATACCTAAGCTCTTCAGATTTGGCCCTGGTAACATAAAGGAAGAAATTAAGACAAAATGAGTTGTGGGGATAGTTCAGGTGGTGATTACATGCGTGAAGACCTAGGTTTGATCTTCAGAACCTATGTCAGAGAAGAGTGGGCATGATGGTATGCACTTGTAACGCAGTGGGGAGGCGCAGACAGGATCCCTAGGCTCGATGACTGGCCAGCCTCCCTATTTGACAAGGTTCAGGTCAGCCAGTGAGAGCTTTTCTCTCAGAAACAGGTGAAGGCTTCTGAGGACCAGCACACAAAGAGGTTGACCTCTGGCCTCTGTATACACACATGTGCACATCCACATAGAAATTAAGACAGAAGACGATTAAATGTGAAAGAAATATCCTTCTAAGAACTAAAAAATGCAGGCTCATTAGGAGTGAGCCCCGGCTCTGAGCCTCCAGGCTGCCAACCTGATGTCTGATGCTGGGCTGTTTCTTTTTAGAGCTGTTTGGATAGAGTTTCAGACGAGATTAGTAAGTGCATTTTATCTACCACCCTGCCCCTCCAACGCACATCCACATTCTCTCTGTGCCTCCTAGGCCAGCCTGGAACTCCCTATCCACCTGCCTCAACCTCCTGAGAGCTGGGGTTACAGGCTTGACCTGCCATGCCCAGCTCAGTCTTGTGCTTTAGTTGCAGTATGTAAAGCTTTGGATGTGGACTATCCTCTGACCTCAGCTCTGAGTGTCCTGACTGCTCTCCTTTCCTTCAGCTGAAGCCCTGGGCAGCACTGAAGCCAAGGCTGTACCATACCAAAAGTTTGAGGCCCATCCTAATGATCTCTATGTGGAAGGACTTCCAGAAAACATTCCTTTCCGAAGCCCCTCATGGTACGGAATTCCACGGTTGGAAAAAATCATCCAAGTGGGCAATCGAATTAAATTTGTCATCAAAAGGTGAGATTGTTGTCTCCAGAACGAACAAAAAGTTTTTCCTAATAAGTTCTACGGTTACGATGGGTCTTTTCCTCCCCCTTCCTTCCTCTCCACACTGTACCCAGCATTCCATTTAGGTTAATTGATTGAGCAAGTGTTTCTCTAGAACATTCTGAGATGCACAGAATGGGACTCAACAGCAGCCTGTCCTTGCAAGCTTAATACTGGGTCAGGTCAGTAAGGTAAGGCATTTTAGAGACAGGAGAACACATGCCCAGGCTGGTCAGTGGTTCATGTGTCCTGGAGAAGACAGTGTTCCCTTGGAAGTGGCTGCAGTGGAGGCAGGAGGGGGTCACGCATGCCTGCATGCCCCCCTGTGTGAAGCTACCAGCCCGGGTGACTGAGAGGAAAGGATGGCTTCAAACAACAGTAGGTGATTAAAGGGTCCTGAAGCAGTGGTCCTTTGTGCTGGCTGTGTAGACAGTTACAGTGACTATATTCAGAAGAGCAAGTCGCAGGCAGGTTGTTACTTTCATTTACAGATGCTTGCCAGGGATCCTCTGGGCCTTACTGGTTGGGGATGTGTTGAATATACTTATCAGTATTGAGAGTTCCTGGGACAGGAAATGTGTAAGGTGTCCAGGCCATTGCTTTTGTGGTATGGCTCATTTAAATGGTTCAGGTAAGCTGGCATATTGGCACATGTCTGTAGTCCCAGTACTGCTTGAGAAAAAAAAAAAGCCAGGGGCTGAAGAGCTGGCTCAGTAGTTAAGAGCACTGACTACTCTTGCAGAGGACCCAGATTCGGATCCCAACACCCACATGGCAGCTAATAACTATCTTTAAGCCCAGTTCCAGGGGATCCAACATCCTTTTCTGGCATCTACAGGCATTGCACTCACATGGTGTACTTACATACATGCAGGCAAAAACTCATTTACATAGAATAAATAAATAAAATGTTTAAAAGCCCAGGTGTTTCAGATTGAGTTTTGGTGTGCAGGAAAAAGTGGCTTTCACACATACTTATGCGTAAACATCTGTTTGCGATGTTCCCTGGTCCAAATGAGTGTGTAGAATTTATTCTTTCCAAAATAGAGTCACCAAAATAGCTTGTTTCCCAGCATAGGAAGGCAGAATGGACCATATTAAAAAATATTGACAGTTTAGAGCTGTGTGGTAAAGACCTTGACATTTCTCCTAAATGCTCTGATTGCTAATGTCCATAATGCTTTCACAGACCAGAACTTCTGACTCACAATACAACTGAAGTGACTCAGCCTCGAACAAATACACCAGGTAAGATCACCTGAAACCCCTTTTTTTTAACACCCCAAAGATTCAACTTTTTTTTTTTTTTTTTTTTTTGGTCTTTTTGAGACAGTGTCTCCCTGTAGCCCCAGCTGTCCTGGAAGTCACTATGTAGACCAGGCTGGCCTTGAACTCACAGAGATCTGCCTGCCTCTGCCTCCCGCTGGGATTAAAGGCGTGCACCACCACGCCTGGCTCAACTATTTTTTAAAAAGTAATTTTCTGGGGCTGGAGAGATGGCTCAGTGGTTAAGAGCACTGACTGCTCTTGCAGAGGACCTGGGTTCAATTCCCAGCACCCACATGGCAGCTACTAACTGTCCTTAACTCCAGTTCCAGGGGAATCTGAAGCCCTCTTCTGACATCTGTGGTATTGCACAACATGAGTGCACTCACATACATGCAGGCAATACACTCGTACACATAAAATAAAAATAATAAAATGCTTTAAAAATTCTTTAAAAAAAAGCGATTTTCTGCATTAGTGGAGATGGAGTTCAGCACCTCATACATGCTTAGTAAGAGCTATATCACTGAGCTATATTCCTCTAACACTTTTCTTTAAAAAAAAATTTTTTTTTAATTATGTATGTTTATGTTTGGGTTTGTACATCCACTGGTCCCCTGGAGGTGGAATTATAGGCAGTTGTGAGTCACCTGATGTAGGGGCTAGGAATTTAATTTTGGTCCTCTGAAAGAGCAGTGCTTGCTCCTAACCCCTGAGCCATCCTTCCAGCCCCAGTTCTACTTTTATTTTTTGAGATAAGATCTCTATGGTGGCTCACAACTACCTGTAACTTCAGTTCCAGGGTATCTGACACCCTCTTCTGGCCTCCAAGGGTAACTGCATCCCAATGCACAGGCACACATACACACATAATCAAAAATACACACACACACCTTTTTTAAAAAAGAGCCTTGCCAGGTGTGGTGGTGCATACCTTTAATCCCAGCACTTCAGAGGCAGAGACAGGCAGATCTCTCTGAGTTCTAGGCCTGCCTGGTCCACATACTGGGACCCTGTCTGTCTCACCGCCCCCCCCAAAAGTCTCAGTTGGCCAAATAGTCTTTTTTTTTTTTTAATTGTTTATATTTTATGTGTATGTTTGTATTACCTGCATGTAAGTGCACCCGTGTCGTGCAGTGCCCACGAAGAACAGATTAGGCCATTGGATCCCCTGAAACTGGAGTTACAGACAGTTGTTAGCTGCCATGTGGGTGCTGGGATTCAAACCCAGGTCTTCTGTAAGAACAGTGTTCTTAACTGCTGAGCTATCTCTCCAGCCCGTTAAATACTCTTTTATTTGTTTATTTGCACTCCAAGTGTATCTTTTTTTCCTCATCATTTTGGGCCTAATGCTCAGAAACAGTTACTGTAATTTGTAGGTCTTTTATTAGTAGTAGTATTTTGTGTGTATGGCCTGCATGTATGTAAATGCGCCCGTGTTGTGCAATGCCCATGGAGGTCAGAAGAAGATGTCCGTAGAACTGAAGTTATGGATGGTTGTTAGCCGCCATGTGGGTGCTGGGATTCGAACCCGATTCCTCTGCAATAGCAGTCAGTGCTCTTGACTGCTGAGCCATCTTTCCAGCCCCTAATTTGTATATCTGTGGTGAGATATGATGTGAGGAAATGAGACTTTAGAAGACAGCCTGAAAGCCAGGCATGGTGACTCACACCTGTAACCCTAAGACTCTGGAGGCTGAGGCAGGGAGATTGTCATGCATTGGAAGCCAGCCTGGGCTATATAGTGAGTTCCTGTATTACAGGACACTCCCCAACATACACACACACACACACACACACACACACACACACACACAAGCATAGATTCCAAGTGTATCTTTAATATTCCTAATTTTATACGTTTCACCATTCTGAGTACTATGAAGGTAAACTGGTTACACTAGTTGGGCTTATGGGTGTGTGTTGAATTGCTAGTCCTCGGCTCTTGGGGTCTATAGGACAATTAGTGCAGGTCAGCCAGTAGCCACACAATATGTATCACAGCTTGAAAAGTGTTAAGAAATAACATATTCTTCTTTTTGTTTGTTTTTGTGGTATTGGCACACGGTAGGCTGGCTCTTTCCACTGAGCCTCACTCCAGCCCTGCCATGCTTACTTCTAATGAGAAAACTTGATTTCATTAGTGAAGTTTTGCTTTAAGTTTCTACGCACATGTTGGAGAGCAGAAGACAGGCTAGCAGGTAGAGCCAGGGCTACCTGTGTGGTAGCCAATGAGAGCAAAACTGCTCCTGAGAGCAGGGGTAGGGGGTGGGGGTGTTCCTCAGCTGCTGCTTCTGTTGGGAAAGCTACTTGTTTTTCTTACTTATAATGTGAGTTAAATGTGAATTCCGTCTCCCTGCAGTTCTGATATTTGACAAGTACAGGAGCACAGGAAGTCCTTTTTTCCCCCCTTAATCCCCAGAGTTTTTGTTTTTAAACAAAATTGAATTAAAAGTATTATGTGACCTTTCCTGGGGTCTGATACTGTTTGGTCCAGATACTGGAAAGGGCATCAGCAAAGTAAAGAGACAGTTCATCCAAGTCCAGGTTGGTGAGCCAGCAAGTTTATTGGGGTTACTTCTAGTATCATAAGTGAGGGGTACCAATGAGTAAGAGTGACTTGGGCAGCTGCAGCACCCAAATGTCCCATCCCCAGTCAACCTTCCACCTCCTGTGTACCTGGCACTTTGAGACCACGTGCAACTAGAGTGCTCAGGAGTAAGTGATTGGAATCTTTGATGAGGGTCCCATGTCCCCACTTATCCAAGAGGACATGTTGCTAAACCGGATCTTATGACACTTGGGTAGGTAATCAGAGCTGCTCTGACACTTGAAGGTAGCAGTAGCTATGTCAAACCCGGAAGACTTCCATACCACTCTGTCCCTTCCTCTAGCTCTTCTTACTTTTCTTCCTCTTCCTCTTCTTCTTCCTCTTCTGCAATGTTCCCTATACCTTGGAAGGGGTGATGCAGCTGTATGCTTCTTTTCTGAACAGTAGGCCTCTAAATCATTTATCCCCAGAAGTTTGACCACTTATGAATCCTGACAGTAACCACTTCATTAAAAAGAAGCATCCTTCCAATAAGGCCAACAGTAGTCCTTACAGGGATAACACAGATGTGCAGAAGACAGTTTCACAGGCACATCACATTGTTTAATGAAACAGTAACACGAGCCTCTCACCTGGGGCCTGTGACTACTTTAGCTAAAGGTCTTTGCCTTGTACTTACAGTACCAAACATGGGTTCTCTGACGTAGGGTTGGCCTCAAATCCAATGAAAAAGTCTGCTGATTGAACCCAGGCCAGAAGGCCACTACCACACCAGCAGGCACATCTTGTTTAGCTGTGTCCTTGGCTGACCAAGACCATGTGACAGTTCCTCCCCAGTAGCCTAAATGGTACCACTCATTACTTAGATTTGCCACCCAGCAGAGAGGGGATAGCTCCTGTTGAAGTCCCAGCTTGATTTCTTAATGCCTTGCAACCAGAGCTTGCTCTGTCTTCAGCAATAAGTCTAATTGTACATCACCAATAAATGGGCAGCAGCGACCTGTGCTGTATGGCATCTCATGCACCTTCCTGGCCAACAGCTCATAGGGAGGTAGCCCGCACCTGTGACTAGGATTTTATTCAGTAACCTAGTATCTTCTCCAGCCCATACAGATGCCTTCTGTATAGAGACTCCTTAGCTGATATTTTAAGTTTATAGCCTTACACTGTAGAATTTTTCTCAGTTACCATGTTGGATCTGTCTGCACCTCACCAACCGTAAAATCCCCAGAAATTTTACACTTTTCGCTGTCCCCTATATCCTGTGTGACTGACTTCCCATTCCCACCCCATTAAGTGTGCTCACACATTCTTCAAAAGCTGTTAGTTTTATGTTTTTTAAAACAGGGACTTGCTATATAGCCTAGGTTGTTTTCAAACTCATGGTGACCCTCCTGCTGTGTGTTCAGCTGCTGTTATAAATCTGTAAAGCACTCAGAGGTTAGCATTGTATAACGAAGCCTGTACACCAACCACACCTGGCATTAAACACAGTTCATTGTAGGGCCTCCATGTACCCTCTGTGGTCCTCACCTGCAGGCAGTGGTGGCCACCTCCGTAGGGAAGTAGCAGAAGGCTGATCACAGCCGTTGTGATTTACAGGTGACAACACCATGTCACACTTAGAAGACAGGTTCCACAGCATGGGAGTGTTATTATAGAGAAGGTGTCTCTGCTCTAGTCCTATCTGTGTCTTAAATGTGTCAATCACTCCCTATGAACAACATATTCATTACATTTAATTTTGTTTCTTTCCAGTCAAAGAAGATTGGAATGTCAGGATCACTAAACTACGCAAGCAAGTAGAAGAGATTTTTAATTTAAAGTTTGGTAAGTTTAAATACAATGCTAACGTCTTGGTTTAAGAAGAGTCAGTGGGCCAAGCACAGTGGTACACACCTTTAATCCCAGCATTTGGGAAGCAGAAGCAGAAGCAGAAGCAGGTAGACAGGCTACCCTGTACTACATAGGAAGTTCCAGTCCACTAGGGCTACAGGTCTCAAAAAAAACAAAAAAAGGGACAATGGCCATGTTCATTCAGAGTGTAGAGAGAAGTTGGGTCTTAGTTTAGTTTATAGCTAAGCATACTACTTAAACCACATCATAGATTTCAGTCCTCTCAGCTTCAGTTTTGTGTCACAGTGGGAATAAAGGGGAGTAAAGTAAGAGCCCCTAGAGTCACATGCGCTTCAGCATTTGTTTGAGCTTAGAGTGGTTGACAGCAGTATCCTGGAGCATTGTCTGACTGTCATGGAGGAAAAAAGATAGAAGGTGCCAGCATTGTGATCTTTTGTTTTTACTGAGGAGCTTAGGCATGAACGGAGCAGATTGGCACCTAGAGGACAGCACAGGTGTTGGCACCATGCTGTGTACACTGGCCTTAGCTTACTTTTGCCTCACAGACATCATTAAGGAGTTTGTTTTGTTTTGAGACAGGGTCTCTCTAAGTAGCCATAACTGGCCTAAAACTTGCTATGTAGACCAGGGTAGCCTCGAAATCACCAATCTGCTGTCTCTGCCTCTTGAGTGCTAGGATTAAATGCATGCACCACCACAACTCCACAGAGATCATTTTGACTCATGGCCTGGGGGTCATGCGATGGATTTGTTTGAATGTTCTTAAAAGCATCCGTTTGTTTTGTTTTTCTGGGTGTGGTGGCTCTTGCTATGTGTGTGAGGCCAGCCTGGGCTATGTACTAACACCCTGCCCTAAAATCCAAAATATGCTGGAGTTTTGTTTTTTTTTTTTTTTTAGGCTGCTGCTTTGCACAGCATACTAAACAGATTGTGTTGAGTAGTGAGTGGCTCTGGCTAGTATAGGAACTTGGGACTGACCTGTTTGATTACAGGCTCTGGTGAGAAAACACCTATGAAACTCTCCCCACAAGTTGTGTCCCCTGCTCTTTCAGCCCAAGCTCTCGGCCTCACAGAGGCAGTGAAGGTGCCATACCCTGTGTTTGAGTCAAATCCTGAGTTCCTTTACGTGGAAGGCCTGCCTGAAGGAATTCCTTTCCGAAGCCCCACCTGGTTTGGGATTCCTCGCCTTGAGAGGATTGTCCGTGGAAGCAATAAAATCAAGTTTGTTGTTAAAAAGTAAGTTCTGTTTGCCACCATGGCCACTTTTCTTTGAAACTAGTAAAATCGTGTTCCTATTTAAAATTATTGGTGACATAACTTTGAAGCCTTAGCTTTGAACTGTGGTCCTGCCTTCTGTGAACTTTATTCTATGCCACACCTTCCTCTGTATGAGGAGAACAGTAACTGCCTCACGATAATGTCCAGAGACAATGCTGCTGCCTGCTGTTGCTGCATAAGACAGGTCCACAAGGCTGAAGTTCACGGTGCTGGGAATTGAACCTAGGAGTTTGCACATGGTCCGAAAGTAGTCTGTCACTGAGCCATGCCACCACCCCCTCACTGGGGGATTCTAGGCACGTTCTACTACTGAGCCATGTCTCTAGTCACTCACTGGGGGATTCTAAGCAGATGCTGTACCACTGAGCATGCCCTCTGCTCTGTTTTCCCTGTGGTCATTGTAAATAATATCAGTGTTTTGCTTTTCTACAGAATATCAGTGGTTAGAGGAACTGAACTAATATTAATTTTTTTTTATATTTTACTTACTATTTTTATGTGTATGAGTGTATTCCCTGCGTGTATGTGAGTGTACCCGCGTCATGCAATGCCGCGGAAGTCAGAAGAGGGCTTCAGATTCCCCTGGAACTGGAGTCAAAGATGGTTTGTAGCCGCCATGCGGTTGCTGGGAATCAAACCTGGGCCCTCTGCAAGAGTAGTCAGTGCTCTTAACTGCTGAGCCATCTCTCTAGCCCCTGGCTCTCTGGAACCCACATGAAAAGCCAGATGTGGTGATGCACATCTGTGATCTCTGCATTGCTATGGTGAGGCTGACCAGCTACTCTGGAGTACACAGCATGGCAGAAACAGGAAAGACCTTGCCTCAACAAAGTAGAAGGTACATGGCACACATGCACCTGTACTCACACATACAACACATGCACACAAGCACCAAAAGAACAAAAAGCCTGGGCGTAATGGCTCATACCTTTAATCCCAGCATTCTGGTCAAAGAGGCAGGTGGATCTCTGAGTTTGAGGCCAGCCTGGTCTACATAGGGGGTTGCAGGCCAGCTGGGGCTATAGGGACAAAAAAAAAAAAAAAAAAAAAAAAGACCAAAAAAAAAAAATTATAATAGTCCAGCCTGGTCTCCATTAGCAAATCCAGGCCAGGGAAACCTTGTCTCAAAAAGACGGAGAAAAAAAAAAAAGAAATTTCATTGGGGCTGGAGAGATGGCTCGCCAGTTGAGAACACTGTTCTTGCAGAAGACCCGGGTTCGAATCCCAGCACCCACATGGCAGCTAACAACTGTCCGTAACTCCAGTCCCAGGGCATCCAAAAGCCTCTTTTGTCTTCCGAGGGCATTGCACAACACAGGTGCACTTACCTACATGCAGGCAATAACACGCATACACATAAAATAAAAAATAAGTCATAGGGGGCTGGAGAGATGGCTCAGTGTTTAAGAGCACTTGTTGCTCTTCCAAAGGACTTGAGTTGGATTCCCAACAGGCACATCAGGCAGTTCACAACTACCTGTAATTCCAGCTCCTGGGGATCTTGACACTCTCTTCTGGCCTCTTTGAGCACTGCGCTCCAATGACATACTCTCTCTCTCTCTCTCTCTCTCTCTCTCTCTCTCTCTCTCACACACACACACACACACACACACACACACACACACACGTTTAGAAACCCGAGTCACGGTGATGTTTGCTGATTATGGAGCCCCACCACACCGGAGGTTGAAACGTGCTGTGTTTTTCTTTGTAGACCTGAGCTAGTGGTCTCCTACTTGCCTCCTGGAATGGCTAGTAAAATAAACACTAAAGGTAAGAGGCTGCCTGTTTCTGCTTTCCTTCCCCATCAGGGTGAGAATTCACTTTGGATCAGCATTGCTCATGTGGCTGACTCACCCATTGCCATTGTGGGCTTCAGTTTATTTCTTCACTGTGAAGCTGCTTTACTTTATGGGTCTTTTTCTTTCTTCTGTTGCCATTTCATTGGAAGTTGATGTTTGCATCCTCCTTTGTTCATGTCACCACAGCTTTGTTGGCACTCATGTGGAGGATTTCACTACCAGTTTAATGCTTCAGGTTTCTTTGAAAAGAGCTAAACTGTATGACTTTTAATACTCTGCTTTTACAAGCATCCCTTCTGTGTTTTTGTAGTCTGCAAAGGTAACTTTGTACTTTGCCTTACAGCATTGCAGTCCCCAAAAAGACCTCGAAGCCCTGGGAGCAACTCCAAGGTTCCTGAGATTGAGGTCACTGTGGAAGGTGAGCTGTTCCCATCTCTTTCTTTTTTTCAAAAAATATTTTATGGGCCAGGCACGGTGGCGTACACCTTTAATCCCAGTACTTGGGAGGCAGAGGCAAGTGGATCTCTGTGAGTTCCAGGCCAGCAGGGGCTACATAGTGAGTTTCACGCCAGCAGGGGCTACAGGGAGACCCTGTCTCAAAAACACACACACACATAATTTTTATTTGTATTTATTATTTTTATGTGCATGAGTATATTACCTGCATGTAGGTGCACCTGTGTCGTGCAATGCCCATAAAGGTTAGAAGAGGGCATCAGATTCTCCTGGAATTGGAGTTATGGACAGTTGTTAGCTGCCGTGTGGGTGCTGGAAATCAAACCCAGGTCCTTTTAAGCAACTAGTGCTTTTGACCACTGAGCCATCTCTCCAGGTCGTGTCCCCCTCCCCCAATCTCTTTCTTGACTCTTCACTTTACCAATTGTATAAGGCCACTAATTCGTACACACTTGGGGATTTCTAGACTGATTTTGTGTGTGAAAAACTGTCTGTGACAGTATGCTGGCCTTAGGAATATTTCTTCTTTTTAATGTGTCTGTATGTGTGTGCACATAGTATGTTCAGTGTGCATTGTCATAGGACAGTTCAAGAGTCAACCCTCAGGAACACTGTCCACTTTGAGGCAGGACCTCTTATTGGGCTAGAGCTCACTGAGTAAGCTGGACTAACTGGCCAGCAAGTGCCAGCAATCCACCTGTCTCCACCTCCCCAGGACTGGGAATATATTCCTAGGTAATGGAATTCAGGTCCTCCTACTTACGAGAAGGGCACAACTACTGACTGAGCTGTCTCCCCAGCGCAGTTTTATGAGTGTTTCTTATTAAAACTGTAAAAGCAATTGAGTTCCAGGCCAGCTGGGGAGACTCTGAATCAAAAAGAACAACAAAAACCTCCAATGACCATGATACTCTGCTTGGAAATCTGCTTGGAACCACCCCCCCCAAGATACTTTTTCTGTAATGATAAAATGGCAGACAGCAGGACCTGCAAACACTCTTGTCTCTTTTCCTATTTGTTTTCTTAGTTTTTGGGGACAGAGTCTCCCTGTTAGCACAGCTGTCCTGGGACTTGCTATGTAGACTAGGCTGGCCTCGATCTCACAAAGATCCACCTGCCTCTGCCTCCCAAGTGCTGGGGATTAAAGGCGTGTGCCATTATACCGGGCTGTTTTTCCTACTTTTTGATGAAAGTTAGCTTATGGGTGGTTTGAATAGCAGCATGCTGAGTCAGGTAATTCAGCTTTGTTCTCAGATTTATTTGCTTCCCTCTGCTCCCACTGGGTGTGCCAGAGTACCATCTCTTGAAGTTCCTGGTATGAATACTACATAGTACCAGCAGCCTCCCACAGAATTCCCTCCTGACTCCATCTTGCCATGAGAATAGCTGCTTAGGGGATGCTTCCCATGAGCCTCGAGGCCAAGTGTGTATCAAGAGCCTGCAATTACTCCCTCTTAGTTGCCTTGTGTACTGACACAGAACCTATTTCCTCAAAGAAAGCGAGCTCATTAGTTACTAAGTATCTAATAACGAAGATCGGGACCCAGGTCCAGTGTCTTGCTCAGCACTGGCCACACTCAGTATACATCCTTTGCTGCTTTTGCAGAGGGTCTAACAAGGATGTTCCATACCCAGGGCTCTGACCCTTATGATCACTTATAAAATGCACCTCATGTCCCTTCTGATCAGAAAACCCACCCAGGAGCCAGTCCCACATAGGCCTGAGCAATGTGAGAATATTTGCATATGGCCTGGCAGCAGGATAGAAGGCCTTTCTGGAGGCAGAAGCCCCTCCTGCAGGATACTGGCGGTGTGTTTCCTTCTAGCCGTCCTGGGATCTCAGGAGCCTTGTTGTTATTACTGGCCAGAGTCCTACGATCAACCATATTTAGTTCCGATCAAGGTTGGGGGTGCTGGGGGAGAGGCAGGCAGGCTGCTCAGGCAGGCATACCCAACTGGAATGCCCATTTTCTTTTTCCTTTTATTTTTTTCATTTTATTTATTTATTTATTTGGTCTTTTTTTGAGACTGGGTCTCCCTATAGCCCCTGTTGTCCTGGAACTCACTAAGAACAAGCTGCCTTGAACTCTCAGAGATCTGCCTGCCTCTGCCTCCCAAGTGCTGAGATTAAAGGCATGCACCACCACACTCAGCCCTTGGAATGCCCATTTTCATTGGACTTTTTTCTGGTTTAACTTGAAATAAACACAGGGTGATTACAGCTTTTTTTTTTTTTTTTTTCCTCTAGGCCCTAACAACAATAATCCTCAAACCTCTACTGTTCGAACTCCTACCCAGACCAATGGTTCAAACGTTCCCTTCAAGCCTCGAGGGAGAGAGTTTTCCTTTGGTAAATGTCTTTTAATTCTTTATTTCAGCATGCTAAACAAAAGGAATTAATGCACAATTTCAGCAGGTTGGTTGACTTTTATTTAGTGAGTCAGTCTGTCAGAGATGAACATGAAGTCTCTAGAGCTGGGCTGCCTGCATTTGACTCTTAATTCTGCGCTTCCAATGAGCCAAGTGCAAAATGTGCCTGAAGATACAAATACTAGGACATTACATGTACTCAGAGCCAGATGTGGCACACAGTGGACACTAACCAACCTGGGAGAGTTACTTTGTTCTTTATTTCAGCACAGATCATTTCTTTATTAAATATTTTATTTTATTATTTTTCATTTTATGTGTATGCATGTATTGCCTGCATTTAGGTAAGTGTACCCATGTCGTGCAATGCCCTTGGAAGAGGCTGTCAGATCCCCTGGTACTGGAGTTACAGACAGTTGTTAACTGCCATGTGGGTGCCGGGATTCGAACCTGGGCCTTCTGCAAGAATAGTCAGTGTTCTTAACGGCTGAGCCATCTCTCCAGCCCCAGATCATTTCTTATCATTTCTTTATAGCCAGAGTATTACTGATCTAGTCCAATGATTGTTATATCCGGATTGAAAGGTAGGACCCAAGATAGAGCCATATTAAAAACTTAGGTGTAGCTGGGCGTGGTGGCACACGCCTTTAATCCCAGCACTTGGTTGGCAGAGGCAGGCGGATCTTTGTGAGTTTGAGGCCAGCCTGGTCTACATAGTGAGTTCCAGGACAGCTGGGACTACAGGGAGACCCTGTCTCAAAAAGACCCAAAAAAAAAAAAAAAAAAAAAACCCCAAAAACCTGTGTTTTTTTCTTTTTGAGACAGGGTCTTCCTGTAGCCCCAGACAGCGTGGAACTCACTATGTAGACCAGGCTGGTCTTGAAGTGACAGAGATCCTCCTGCCTCTGCCTCCCCAGTGCTGGGATTAAAGGCATGCACCACCATACCTGGTCCTAGGTGTTTTTTATATAGATACAGAATCATGTATATATAAGCTACAAACACCTAAAACAGAGGGGACGAATTGGGATGGGATATGTTCAACATGAAATACATAGTCTATGTCTGTGCCCTTGTGTAACATGGTAAGTACAGTGAGTATCCACAATACAGATGAAAACAAAGTGCCTTAAGTGTTTGTAAAGCCGCACAGTAAAAGACAGGTAAAATCCCTGCTGCCCCTCCTGGGAATCACTTGCTGATAGGTGCTGTTGTCTTCATCCACAGAGGCCTGGAATGCCAAGATCACAGATCTGAAGCAGAAAGTGGAAAACCTTTTCAATGAGAAATGCGGTAGGTTTGTTTGGAAACACTTGAGTATGAAGAACTCCGTAAGACAGGGCTGAAGGCAGCCTTCAAACACCTCATCACTGCAGATCTGTGGGTTAGCTGCCTTGTCTCATCACTACGGATATGTGGGCTAGCTGCCTTCCAGCTCATGTCTGCTTTACTGAGCACCAGGAATTGGAAGAATGTTTTCAAGCATTAAGATGAGCATGATTTCTAAATGAGGGTACTTAGTGGATGCAGAGTGCTGAGGGCCCTTTCTAGCCATGCCACAGAATGAGAGTTGCTGTGTGTTGCAGGGGAGGCTCTTGGCCTTAAACAGGCTGTGAAAGTGCCGTTTGCATTATTCGAGTCCTTCCCAGAAGACTTCTATGTTGAAGGTTTACCTGAAGGGGTGCCTTTCCGGAGGCCGTCCACATTTGGCATTCCACGGCTGGAGAAGATACTCCGGAACAAGGCCAAGATTAAGTTCATCATTAAGAAGTGAGGAGTTCAGGGGTGGGCAGGGGCTGTAGGTTGAGACTGCTACACTGTCTGGGACACGGACCCCTGGGTTTGCAGTTTAGTGGGCTGGGTATAGCTCTCCAAGAGGCCTGTTAATAGAGCTGGAGAAAGTGCTCGGTGGTTAAGACTGCCGCTGCACAGCCATGATGACCTGAGCTTAGATCCCAACTCCCTCCTAACAAGCTGGGCAAGTTCTTGAGCCTGTACTTCCATGCTAGGAGTGGGGGCAGGCTGCCTCGGAGTGAATGTGGGCTGCTGGTTCTGTGAGAGACCCTGTCTCACAGGAATATGAGCATGATAAGAGGATACCCGAGGCCCTCCTCTGGCACTGCACAGGTATAGGCACATACACCTGCACACGTGTGTACATAGGTCTCACATAAAATTTTTTAATGTTGTTGTATTTTATTTATTGGGCAGGAGTGGCTGTGTGCACAGGCATTTCCTGTTTCTGCTCTTGGGCCTGGCACTGACTCTTGTCTGGGAATGTCTCCCTTGGGAAGAAGAATGCAGGGAGACTACTATGACCACAGGGTTGGGAGGGGGAGGGAGGGCGGGATGGACACGGACACAGTTCCCGACTTAGGTTGCTTCTCCTGCTGTTGGCACCATGTGCTCATAGAGTTTCAGGGCTTTCACCTGTGTGTCTTCCCCTGGGCCGTTAATTTGGGTTAACCAGCCCACACCTTCTTCCTCTTGCTTATAGGCCTGAGATGTTTGAGACGGCCATCAAGGAGAGCACCCCCTCCAAGAGCCCTCCACGTGAGTGTCCCTGGAACAGCACCATGGCATTGAGCCCAAGGCAGGCTGTGGTTCTTTAAACAGAACTGCTTGTGCAATATTCGGCTCCACACCAGGGCACAGCATCAGTAGCAGCCTCACAGGCCAGCTTACAGACCTGCCTCATGACCGAATGCAAGCTCACAGCTTTGGTCGTTAGAGAGAAGTTTAACTCTTTGTGTTTTGTATAAACCCTAATCTTCAGTTTCTTTCAGGGAAAATAAATTCATCCCCCAACGTTAACACCACTGCATCTGGTGTGGAAGACCTCAACATCATTCAGGTGACGATTCCAGGTATGGCTCCTGTCTACATCCTAGCTGTGGGGTCCTTTCTGTTTGTTAGGATTCCAGAAGCCATCTGCAGTGTCCACAGTGCTTCTAATCCCTTGGGGCCAGCTTATGTGGTGTGCTGTTCTGTTTGCTATGCCCAGGCTATCCCTCTGTCAACCTGACTACATAGCACCTGCCTGAGCTTGGCTCTGCTCAACACCCAGTGTCTCTGTCCTTTACAAGTTCTCTATAAGGGGCCGCAGAGACTGATCAGTGGTCAAAAATGCTTATTGCTCTTGCAGCGGATCTGAGTTTAGTCCCCAGCACCCACATCAGGCAGCTCATAATCTCCTTTAAACTCATCTCCAGGGAAGCTAACACTATAGACACCCACACATATGGCATGCACCCCAACAGATTGACATACATACACATAATTTAAAACAATAAATCTGGGGGCTAGAGAGTTGGCTCAGCAATTAAGAGCATTTGCTGATCTTGCGAAGGACCCACACTACACTTCTCACAGCCATGTGTTATTCCTCCAACGGCTCTGACACCCTCTTCTGGCCTCTGTGGGCATGCACCTATTGCTTGTAAATACATGCAGACAAAACATGCACACACTTAAAATAAAAATAAATCTTCATAAAACTGCAGGGAAAGATTTCCTTAACAGAAATAAGGTTGTGCCATTTCCAGTTGATATAATTTTTTGTTGTTGTTCTGAAGACATTTTTATTGCTGTTTTTATATTTGGATATTATAATTTTTTAATGGTTATTTACCTCTTGGTGGTATTATGATTCAAGAACTCTGTGGGAAACATGCAGAATCAGATTTGCTTGGCATCTCAAGTTCCTTATGGCTTGGGTTTGCTCTTGACTGTTGTAGATGACGATAATGAAAGACTGTCCAAAGTTGAAAAGGCCAGGCAGCTGCGGGAGCAGGTCAACGACCTTTTCAGTCGCAAGTTCGGTGAGTTTGTGATAAGCCGGGAAAGTTCATTTTCATAGAATCCTTGCAGTAGATGTTCGTCAGTTAGCTATAAAAAAAAAAAATCAAGTCTTTTGTTCTGAAATTCTTTGATGATCAGTATCCAAACTAATAAAACTAAGGTTGATGGGTTGGAGAGATGGCACAGAGGTTAAGAGTGCTGGCTGTTGCAGAGGACCCAAGTTGGGTTCCCAGCACTTATACCAGGCATCTTACAACTACCTGTAACTCCAGCTCTAGGCGATCCAGTACTGTTTTCTGGCATCTAAGGACTCCTGCATTCACATACACAGGCATACACAAATACATAATTAAAAATAAAATCTTTTGCTGGGTGTGGTGTTTTGATCCCAGCACTCAGGAAGCAGAGGCAGATGGGTCTCTGTGAGTTCCAGGCCAGGGCTTCATAGTGAGAGCAGGTCTCAACAAAACAAACCCAGACAAAAATCTTTTTTAAAAATAAAATTGGGGGGTTGGGGATTTAGCTCAGTGGTAGAGTGCTTGCCTAGCAAGCACAAGGCCCTGGGTTCAGTCCTCAGCTCCGAAAAAGAAAAAAATAAAATAAAATTGGGCCAGGCCTGGTGGCTCACACCTTTAATTCTAATTCTCAAGAAGCAGAGGCAGGTCAAGGCCAGCCTAATCAACATAGTAAGTTCCAGGCCAGCTAAGGCTACAGAGAAAGTCTGTCTCAAAAACTGAAAGAAAAATTGAATAAGTAAATAATAAAATTAAGGTTGGTGTTTAAGACTGGTTGGTTATTTGGATGTGTGGTCACCCAGCTCCATGTGGTTCTCATGCAGGTGAAGCTATTGGCATGGGCTTCCCAGTGAAGGTCCCCTACAGAAAGATCACCATCAACCCTGGCTGTGTGGTGGTTGATGGCATGCCCCCTGGAGTGTCCTTCAAAGCCCCTAGCTACCTGGAGATCAGCTCCATGCGGAGGATCTTAGACTCTGCAGAGTTTATCAAGTTCACTGTCATTAGGTAAGTGGGTGTTTCCTGATAGTCACAGGTCAGGTGGCTAAGCATTTGGTTTGGGGTTTTTTGGTTTTTAATGTGTATGAGTGTTGAATGTATGTAAATGTACCTGTGTCCTGCAGTACCCTCAGAAGTCAGAAGAGGGCATCAGATTCCCCTAGAATTAGTGTTACAAATGGTTATTTTCCGCCTTGTGGGTGCTGGTAACTAAACCTGGGTTCTCTGGAAGAGCAGCCTCTTAACCACTGAACCATCTCTCCAGCCCTATTTTTTGGTTTTGGGGGGGTGGTGGTGAGGGAGGTCTCACTTTCTGTTCCTGACTTGCTGGTCTGGCACTTACTCTGTAGCCCAGGCTGGCCTAAAACTCAAAGAAATTTCCTGCTACTGCCTCCCAGGTGCTGCAGTTTTAGGCTATGCCACCACTGCTGGCTGAGGTGACTTCTTGAGATAGGATCTTGCTGAATTTGAACCCTCTATTCTCCTGCCTAACCTCCCAAGTGCTGGGATTACAGGTGCACACACTGTGCCTAGCATGAAACCATCTTAATTCTCTAGTTTTTGAGGTGAGAAATTGGCAGTCTATGGCCTATGGACCAACCCAGCTTCTCACCTTTTTTCTTGTTTTTGGTTTGGTTTGGTTTGGTTTGTTTTTTCATGTGAAACACATTTGCCTCCAACTCTTGACTACTTTTTAATCTTAATGGAAAATCAGAGTAATGGGGCCTACAAAACCTAAAATGTCTGCTGTCTGTCACAGAAGAATTGGGCCAGTGCCTCAGGGCTCGTGGCCGTGGACTTCTTGGGTCAGGTGCTGGCGCCTTCCCTGTGACTGGATCAACTGGCCTTGGAGCCCTCCTTATGACCTAAGGAGCAGTGGTGCCGCCTGCCCTCCAGCTGCACAATAAGAAGTGTCAACTATACCTGCTATTCTGGGAGGCTTGGGGCAGGGGGATTGCTACCAGTTCACTGCTAGCCTAAGCTACAGAGCAAGATGCTATCTCAAAGAAAGAATGGAAAGTGCTGAGCATGGTGGTACACACCTTTAATCCAAGCACTCGGAGGGAGGTAGATGCAGGTGGATATTTCTGAGATCAAGGCCAGCCCAATCTACATAGTGAGTTCCCAGCCAGCTGGGGTGACGGGGAGACCCTGTCTTTAAAAAGAGAACAGAAGCCAGGCGTGGTGGCGCACGCCTTTAATCCCAGCACTCGGGAGGCAGAGGCAGGTAGATCTCTATGAGTTCGAAGCCAGCCTGGCTGGTCTACATAGTGAGTTCCAGGACAGCTGGGGCTACAGGGAGACCCTGTCTCAAAAAGACAAAAAAAATAAAGAAAAATTAAAAAAATAAAATAAAGAACAGAAACAGGGCTGGAGAGATGGCTCAGCACTTAAGAACACTGGCTCTTCTTGGAGAAGACCCAGGTCCGAATCCCAGCACCCACATGGTACTAACAACTGTCCATAACTCCTGTTCTAAGGAATCCAACAGCCTTTTCTGTCCTCTGCATGCATTGTGTGACACGGGTGCACTTACACACATGCAGGCAATACACGCATACACATAAAATAAAATAATAAAATATTTTTTTACAAAAAACAGAAATAGAAAAAAAGTGTCACCTCCCTAAGCAGAAATCCCATGTTATCATAACCTCTTATTTTCTGCCCCAAGACTAAACCTGCCCAATGGGCTTAGCTCTCCTTCCCCACAACCACCAGAGACTTAGATGTCCACTCTCCCCAGAGGCCAGCAGGAAGCTGCCTTCCCTATACTGCAATCTAGCATGTGCTCCCCTCTGTTTAGGTATTCCTGTGTATGCTGTCTACCTGTACTGGTGATAGTCACATTACATATAACACATGACTAAATAGGCAACATGCATAGTGCATGTAACGTAACTACTGTAGATGACTAATATATGCATTATATATAATAAACATGTTAACAGAAGTGGACTCAACTGCTATAAAGTAGTGAGTAATAACCATTCTAATGCATAAGTGACATAAATTAACATATTAAAATGGCTAGATGTTCTTGTAGAATAAAAATAAAGTATTTCATCATACAATTTGTTTTTCTCTTTAGACCATTTCCAGGACTTGTGATTAACAACCGTGAGTATCTCATGAAGCTTTTTCTGGATCTGAGCATGTGGGAGGGAGGGGGGCTGCGGAGCAACCCTCAAAAAGAAACATCAGCCATGTAGTCTGAAGTGGAAAACAACAGCCACAGGAATTCAAGATAGCATGGGTCATGTGGGACCCGGTCTCAAAAAAATAGAAAGCCAGTGAATCTTTTTGTGAATGTCAGTTCTTGTATCTTCTGCCTAATTTCTAGTTTCTAAAGACCATTATCTTCTGAGCCCCCCAGGTTTATGTTTACAATGCTCAGTTTTATTCTTGTTTCTGTGCAGAAGTCTGTGAAGGTTTTATAATAACTGAAATTCATGATTCTGGTGGGATCCACCAACACTGTTAGTTTTCCTTCCACTCTTTTTTTTAAAATTACATTTATTTATTTACAGGGCTGGGGGAGGGTACATCCCAATGGTACATATGTGGAGGTCAGAGGACAGCTTTTGGGTATCAGTTTTCTCCTCCTGCCACGTGGGTCCTAGGATTGATCTCAGGTTGTCCGACTTGGTGGCAGGTGCCTTTACCTGCTGAGCCATCTTGCCCAGCCCCTCCCACTTTTGTAAAATAATGGCAATTATGGCAAAGTTGAAGCATTACCATAAAAACAGTCAAGTGTAGTGCCGGAGAGATGGCTTACCTGGTAAGAGCACTTGATGTTGTTGCAGAGAACCCCAATCTAGTTCCCAGCATCCATGTCAGGCTGCTCACAACCACCTGTAACTCCAGCTAGGTAGATCCAGCACCCTTCTGACCTCCAGGTACATGTGGACATACACAGACATAGTTTTAAAATAAAAATAGCACGGTCAAATGTGACAACATCAGTAAACCATCCTCTAACTGCCCCTTTTGTTTCAGAGCTGGTTGATCAGAGCGAGTCAGAGGGTCCTGTGATGCAAGGTGAGAGAAACAGGGTGGACCATAGTGCCCTGCATGTGTGGTGGCACCCTGCCTGAGTGGCTGAGCTGTTTCTGCTCACACTTGCCTGCTCTTGGGGGAGTTGATAACAGTGCACATCTACACTCGAACACACATGGACTGTCTCTGTTTCTTCCTTGACTGCCATGTTTGAAGGCCAGTAAAATATGTATAAGCTGAGCTGTGGGTCCTGGCTGGCTACCAGCTGTGGGCTGTACACTGTAAATCCATGGTCCAGGTCAGTCATGATGTCAGGAAGCCCAGGACCAGGTCCTAGAATAAAACCACTAGGAAGGTCACTGCTTTGCTTTTTTTTCTTTCTGGGTATGTTTGTGTACAAGTGTGGGTGCACCTGCTTGTCGAGGCCAGAAGTTGATGGGATATTTCACCATAGGGGTTTTTCTCCCCTCTTCTTCTTCCTCCTTGCCCTCATTCTAGGTTCTTTAAAGAGTTCAAAGCAACCTTCAAAAACTGTTCAAATAAGTCTTAATATGTTTCTCTTTAGAATCAGCAGAGCCAAGCCAGTTGGAAGTTCCAGCAGCAGAAGGTAAAGGGTGATCCTGGTTACTTGTGGAGATCTGGAGTGATTGACCATGCATTGATTAGGACAGGTTGGGCTCTGTGCTGCTGTCTGCTGCTTTGTACATTTGTTTCTAGGTGAATTGATTAGATTTGTAGCTCATGCTAAAGAACACTGCTGAATGCAGTCTCCAGACAGGCTTCTGCTCCGGCTTCCCCACTCTGTTCTGGGTGATTCTAGCTGCTTCTGTATCCTAAACTGGGTGTGGCAGTAAGTACACAGAAGAGCAGTGAGCTGGGTATGGCTCAGCAGTAGAGTACTTGCCTATTGTTTGCAGAGCTCTGGGTTCTATCACATACACAAAAATAAACCACATCTCACAGATGCAGCAGGTAGAGGACTTCAGTCAGATAGTTTCGTGTGGAACATTTATAGGCAAGCAGACTCACATCAATCATACAGCTTACCCTTGCCCTCCTGTTTCTCCTGCTAGAAATTAAAGAGACGGATGGGAGCTCGCAGATCAAGCAGGAGCCAGACCCCACGTGGTAGACCTTGTCCCTCCAGGGTAAGTCAGGATGCAGGGCCTCAAGGTCTGAATACAGGTGACCTGGGAGCTGCAGGCTGGGTTTTTTCTGTGTTTCTCACATGAATGCAGAAGTGCAGGGTGTGGTGACATTCGCTTTTAATCCCTGTGGGGGTTGGGAGGGGGAACCTGAGTTCAAGGCTAGCCTGGTCTACACAGTCCTACATAGGACCACATAGCCCCAGGTCACCCAGGGCTACACAATGAGACCCTGTCTGAAAAAAAAGAAAAGAAAAATGAAGAAGTGCTTGCAGTTAGAGGCTGGGCCCCATTGTTACAGACCTGCTCAGCATGAGTGGGGTAAGAGTGAGGATTGCATTCTGTTGTCCCAGCCTCAGGTGTGTCTGCTGAGGTTGTGGGCTCTTCCCAGTAGCCTCCCTTACCAACTCACCCTGTCAGGTGATGGTCTTGGGGTTCTTTTCTTTCTTTCTCTCTGGTGGCAGGTGTGTGCTATGAGGGTGTGGTACAGCTGTTATTAACCTCTTGCTTGTTTTCTCTCTGCTTCAGCCTCCAGTGTCAGTGGAGAAGAGCGTTCGGAACGTGACTGCCCCCACTGTGTAATATACTTGTATAACAGAAATACCTTCTATACAAACCTTTTTTTCTACTTTTAGATAGAAATGTCTACTTTTTCAGCAGTTCTGTGAATTGAACTAAAAAGAGTGACTGTAGGTGGCGTGGCTGCTGGCTTGGGATTATATTATAAGGATTTCACAGCAGCGCTGGAGAGACATGGGGCATGGCAGGGACAAGTTTTCTGTCGTGGGCGGAGCCATGGCTGCAGAGTCTTCCAGCCAGGGAGGATCCCTATGGGACAGCTCGGCTTCACCGCGAAGAGCCCTGTGTAGTCAGTGCTTTAGTTTTTCTATCGAATCATTTCCGTGACCTGCTCAGCCTTCCTCTGCCTGAGGAGGGCTGCTGTCTGTCTATGTGACTAAGCCTTTTCCTAAGCTCTCAATCATGGTTCCTCTGTGCCCACTGTAACAAGTGCACAGTGTCTCTGAGGCGCCTAGAGGACCTTGGCAGAGCCTCTTCCACCGTTACTTTGCCACAAGTAAATGCCGGGCATCCTGAAGGTCAGAGGTCAGGTATTCGAGCTTGGGCAGCTGGATGACACTAAAGCCCCTACCTGGAACCCACGACAGCATGGGGTGCTCTGGATGCTGCTTGGGTTGGGCCAGGTGGTGTCTCCTTGAATGGTTTCCAATGGTTTCCCAATGGGGTGCCATTGTGGTGCCATTGTGGTGATTGAGGTTGAGAAGCTTTGCACCGCCTGGGCTCACGCTCCATGCACTGGTCCTCCATGGGCTTCACTCAGGGCCCACAGACAATGGAAGCTGTCAGACAGCAGCTGCAAGTGCTGGAGGGGTGCCTCATAGGCTCAGTAGCTGCATCACACGTTCACATGGCAAACTTACCACATGGTAGCAGAAATAGGCATTTTTATGTGTTCCTTATATTTTACCTCAAATTAAATTGTAGATATAGGGTAATAAATAAAATCCATCCATGCCTTTCACATGTGAGCTCGTTCTTTCCAGGCTGTCTTCCTGAGTGTCTGGGGGTATAGGGGCTGGATGCAATGGGTACCAGAGGGCTGGCTGGGTGCTCAGGGCTCAGTCCCTTACAGGTCGAATGACTTTTTCTGGTGTCCCCACATTCCACCTCTTACCTGTGTTCGGGGACAGCAGAGAGAAGGTTGAAGCCAAGGTCTCACTGCAGGGAGAACCAGTTCCAAGTCCTCCACCTGGAAAACCCCTGCTGCCAAGACACATCCAAAGGAAGAACCAGTGATGCCTCAAAGGGAGCCTACCCTGGGACTCCTGCCCAGCCAGACTCCTTCTGGCCCTGCTTCTGCACAAATATCCTTTTGTGCTATTTTGAGACAAGGTCTCCCTATAGCCTCAGCTGGCCTCAAACTCAGTATGTAAACTAGGCTGGCCTCCATCTCACAGAGCCCTGCCTGCCTCTGCCTCCTGAGTGCTTGGATTAATGGCATGTGCCACTGTGCCCATCCTGGCAGTTGGTGCCTTGTGATATTCTGTACACACAGCCTCCTTCCCTAGCAGGGTGATCGCCTTAACCAGAGGTGACCTGTCAGCTGTCACTGTAATTGCCTGAGATAGCCAGCTCAGAGGGAGGGTTTCACGCATAGTTTGAGGTATTTCAGGGTGAAGCTCTGGCCTTGGGGACACTTACCATGTCATAGATCATACATGAGGCAGAATTGTCCCTGGGTTAGACACAGTTTGTTTACCAATGGGTGGTAGAGACACTGTGTTAAGAAGGGTCAGAGTTGTCAGTTAAAATTTTCCTGGACTGGGGCTGCAAAGATGGCTCAGCTGTTAACAGCACTGACTATTCTTGCAGAAGACCCAGGTTCAATTACCAGCACAATGTGGCAGCTAGCAACTATCCATAACTCCAGTTTATTTTCCTGGCCTGGGATTTTGGGATCAGGTAGTACTCGCCTACCCTGCACAGAACCCTGAGTTCAGTCCACATGAACCAGGCATGATGGTGTATGCCTAACAGCTCTCTACTTGGAAAGGAGGAGTTCAGCCTTTCTCCACTACATAATTAGGGTCAAGATCCATCTGAGCTAAATGAGACCCAATTTCAAAAAAGTATGATGTACACCTTTAATCCCAGCACTTGAGGGGCAGAGACCAACCTGGTCTACATAGTGAGTTCCAAGCCAGCTAGGGCTACAGAGAGACACTGTCTCAAAAAAAAAAAATAAATAAAGAGTATTAGAGTGGCATGTAGTGGCATTAAACTGTTCAAGAGACTGATCTGATGCAGAATTGTTCACAGTTGGAGGCCAGCCTGGGCTACAGAGTTGAGGCCCAACACTAATCAGGATTCCCAGCCACCTTCTGTCTACAGCCACTGTCTAGCACCCAGTGGCCTCACCTACCCCACCCTGCACACACCATCTTGTGGTTTGGTTTTGAGGAAGGCTAAGGGCAAAAACCTGACACAACACCAGTGTGTAAGGCACTTCCTGCTGTCTTTCTGCTCTGGGAACACAAGCTTGCATTCAGCTTTGGTACCATGTCCAGGGGAGGCCCACCTCCAGAAGTTTCAGTGTCAACATGTCACCAGCTGCGAGTTGTGCTGGCGGCTGCCTGTAAACAACCCCTCAGTACCTTGACTTATGTCCTCCAAGAAAAGAGCTCCATAGAGGTTAGCAGGCAGAACCACGTGTGGTGGTACACACTTGTAATTCCAGCACTCAGGCTGGAAGTAGGAGGGACAGAAGTCCAAGGTTATCCTCAGCTACATAGGGAGTTTGAGACTTGCCTGGGCTACATGACACCTTGTCTCCAAAATAATAAAAGCAAGTCTGCTTCCAAAATGTCAATTTGAAAGCCAAGTGCACTGGCTCGTCCCTGTCTTCCCAGCACTCTAGAGGGCTATGTAGAAGTTCAAGGTCCTTGGCTACATAGTGAGATCAGGGCTAGTTTGGGCCACGAGATCCTGTCTCAAAAAACCACTGATAATAAGGATGATTGTGGTGGGGTAGTCCAGGCCTGTAACCCTTGGACTTGGGAGGCAGAGACAGCATTCAGAGCCAGCCAGAGAAACAGTACAACCCTGTCTCCAAAAAGCAAAGTCTAGTACCTATTCACAGAGCTGTAATGTGTGGGCATCTTGAGCCGTGGCAGCTTCGTTGGCCTTTAGAAGGTGGGTTCAGTCCCATGGTGTGAAATGGCACACCCCAGGTCCTGCTCCACGTTCCTGTCTGTAGATGACCCACCCCAGCCCCGGCTAGCTGAGCTGCTGTCCTGGGGTTGCCCTGGAAGGTGGCAGGCTTCCCCCTGCCCTGCGTTCTCAGCTTCAGAGAGGTGGGGAGGCGACTGCTCTCAGACTTGGGTCTTCAGGTGGACAAGCAGCAGTTTGTAGAAAGGAGGAACCCAGGGAGGAGGCTTCCAAAAGCTGGCAAGATGGCTCAGCAGGTAAAGGCTGTTGCTGGTCAAGCCTAATTAATAGAGCTCCATTCCCAGGAACTACGTGTTAGAAGGCGAGAACCTGCTCCTCCAAGTTGTCCCTGGCCTCCACATGTACTATGGTGTGTGCGTGCGTAATAATTTTTTTTAAAAAAAACAGTCTTGGCTGGGGATATGGCTCAGTTGGTACAGTGCTCACCTAACATGGTCAAAGCCCTAGGTTTCATCGTTAGTACTATGTAAACCAAGCGTGGCCGTGGCGGCACAGGCCTATAATCCCAGGACTCAGGAGGTGGAGGCAGGAGGATCCCATGTTCAGGCTCATTCTCGGCTACATGAGACGCTGTGTCAAAACAAAAAACTATCCAACCAAGCAGCCAAGGTATATCCACCTGCCTCTTCCTCCCAAGTGCTAGGATTAAAGGCGTGTGCCACCATGCTTATTATTTTTAGTTTATGAGCATATTGCCTGCATGTGTGTAAGTGCACCCATGTCATGCAATGACCACAGAGGGGTCAGAACGGTGTCAGAGCCCCTTGCATTACGGATGGATGGTGTGTAGCTGCCATGTGGATGCTGGGAACCAAATCCAGGTCCACTGCAAAAGCAGCCAACACTCTTAACCACTGAGCCATCTCTCTCTGCAGCCCCAAAAGTATTTTATTTTATTTATTTATTTATTTTTTTGTTTTAGGTGATAGGATCTTTTATTTTGTATCCGCCTGCCTCTGCCTCCCAAGTGCTGGGACTAAAGGCATGCGCCACTGCGCTCGGTTTATAATCTTAATGTAGCCCAGAACTTGAAATTTTCCTGCCTCAGCTCCCCACAATGCCCAGCACTTGGAAGAGGCAGGTGGATCTCTGTGAGTTTGAGGCCAACCTGGTCTACATAGTGAGTTCCAGGCCAGCTGGGCCTACAGGGACACTCTGTCTTTAATAATAAAATAATAATAATAGACCTAATAATAATAAATGAAGATTACTTTCAAAACCAAGCTGGGTGTGGTGAGTTCCAGGCCAGCTGGGGCTATACAATGAAACTTTCCCCAGCTTCAGTCATACCTGGCATGGCTCACGTCTGCTAACTGCAGCATTTACCAAACCTCACCTTTCACAGCATCCCACAAAATGGGCACAAATGGCTGAGCCATTTTATTGAAAAAACTGAGGCTTGGGAAGCTTGAATGAGATTGCCAAGGGACAAGGCTAGGAATTGGGAGGTGGGGTCTGAATTCAAGAGAGCTGTGAGGCAGGCCCCAGGGTATACTGCCCCCAACCTGGATGTGTGCCTCTACTCAGCCAAGAGTGACAGCAGAGTGGTGGGACCCAGGGAGAAGGGAGGTTGCAGTGTTGCAGTTGAGGGGTGTCCTGAGTGGACCATAATGCAGCTGCCTCATGTCTTCCTGGGTCCTCAAGGTCCACCCTGACCAGCAGAACACATCTCTGATATAATTCTGCTGAGAAAAGAAGACCCAGGTATGCAAAGAGGTAGTGACCTGTGTTTCCACAGAGCCTGCTTGTCCTTTACCACCATGCCCAAACCCCAAATCCCAACCATGGAGCACTGCACAGCTGCTGGTCAGGCACATAGGTCAGGGGTCCAGTGAGAAACTGGGGGTGAGGCTGCTAGTCACAAGGAGCAGCAGGAGACGCTTAGACTAGACCTGTAAAGAACTGCCCATGATGTCCTTTTTTTTTTTATTTCCAGTCCTCCACTTTTTGCTTATTTTTTAAAAAATAATTGAGAATTTCATACATGCATATAAGGTGTTTTGATCAAATCCATGCCTCCATGCCCACTCCCTCCCCTCCAGCTCCTCCCATATCTCTCCAGCACTTTTTTCTGATAACTTCATGTTCTCTTCTTTTATTTATTTTTTTATGGGGCTTTTGGCTACTCTAACATTCCCCCTTCTGAAGAAGTAATCCTTTTAAGGATTAGATAAAAGCTCCCAAATATTTTTGACTTTTTTGGCCTCTGGAATGGAGTATGTTGCTAAGAGGCCTAAGGACATTGTGAGTTTTAGCCAAGAAACTGGCTACTTTTCTTTGGGGCCTTTTTATCCTAACTGCCTAGCCAATTCCTACCTCCTATTCTTATCACACCATCCTCTTGGAGAGGTTACCCAAGTTGCCAATAGGGAATCGGAACACAGACCACTCTGGCTTCTTCCATGCTGAACTGGGACACAGGTGAGGCAATTGGAGTACCCCTTCAGCGGGTCTATCTAAGACTCCCAAACTGCATAATTCTTATCTCAAGGAGGAAAAGAAAGTCTTTGAATCATGAATGGGAGATGTGAAGGAGAAGTAAAGGCAAGAGTAATTAATTAGCATTACAAGTTCTAGACAGGGACTAGAAGTCAGAACAGGGCAATTTTCAAATGTTCATGTAAGAGTCCATTGGAAGTTCTTGACAAGGGCTTCCAAAAGCATCCCTCTATTGGGTTCCTCCTCATTTTTCTTTTGTCTTCCAAGTCTGGACTTTAGGGTGATGGATTCAAGATTTGCTTTCAGGCATTTTGATAGCTCCTGGAGTGGTTAGAATCAGTGTCAGTTCCCTCTCAAAGACTTCTAGATAGGGGGAGAAAACAAATTTATCCATCATTTTAGAACAAAAGCTGGTTGTCTCCCTTAGCTACAGGTGGGCGGTACAGTATTGGAGACCAAGATTTGAAGTCTTACATCTGAGCAGCACTTTCTGGTTAGGAACAAAATCATCAATGAGAAATAATTGTCTAGATAACTTTTTATATAGACTTAAGCCTAATGTCTGGGTAGTGTAATCCCTTGAACTCTTAAATATACTGATGACTTTACTCTTGGTTCTACTTTCCTTTCGGGTGTTTAAGGCCATACAGTTGGCCCAAATCAATTTATTTTTACACTTAAGGTCATTTGAGGATTGTAGACTGGACATTGGTTCAGTCAATTTTGTGGGGTCTCCATGGCCTTCCTGAACAACAGGACAGGTGACACATAGTTACAGGACATTTTGAGAGATGTTCCATAGTCCCCTGGAACTTAGTCGACCTTGGAGGGCAAGGGGCAAAAACTGTCCTTTAAGTCTCTCTGACCACATTAGTATAGGCCTCAAACTATGGCTGTTAAACATCCAATAAGGTTAGTTCCACCAGTCTGCTACTTTTTTTTTTAATTTTAAAATTATTTATTTAATAACCACATAATTAGAAGAAGCATTTCATTACAACAGCATTGACATATTCAATAACAATTTCCAGAGCTAAGATGCATCTCTCAGTCTGGTACTTTTATTTTATGTGTATGAGTGTTATGCTTGCATGTAGGTAAGTGCACCCATGTCGTGCAATGCCCTTGGAGAACAGAAGAGGCTGTCGGATCCCCTGGAACTGGAGTTATGGACA